TTACAACTCATTATAAGTACATCTGAGAAATTAATGTTCGCAACAACTAATAAAGTTCTAAATCTAGATCTTTCTTGTTAGCAATCTAGCCTTTATGACACGCAATCCAACTTATTATTTATTATGAACTTGATAAGGCTATTTAAAATTACAAATTACAACTCTGGTAATTTCTAGCAAGAACTTAAGGATTTTCGTTTAAAATAATCATAATTCACGCTTTAGTCAACATTATCTGATTCATAAAATCTGATTTTGTGAGTTAAGTAAAATCCCCACTGTAGGAGAAAAATAGGTTAAAGTAGACAAAAATATGTATGTTTTTTAGGGAATAGTAAATCGTCACCAATCACCTCCTAAATGGGCATTAGTCACTGAAACCCTGAAACGGATAATCAAAATGAATTGTTAAATTTCTATCGTTAGAAATATCGCTATTATAATGTAAAAGAGCCTTCTCTATGCATCTATTCTTAAATTCTTCCTATTAAGTTGAGGATTTATGAAATTCCATTCAAGTCTCACTCTCACCCTCGCATCGACCGTGATACTTCAATGTTATAAGTAACCCGGATGTTTACAAGCGAAGGATCTGGCTGCGAGCCAAATCATCCTTTACATTAATATAATAGTGCACGTTCATTCATTGACCTAGTTTTGGTTCCACTCGACCAGTGCTGGCGTTTGCTTACATAAATGGCACAATATTTTTGCTTATGTAATCGGGTTTAAGCGAAAAAAGGATGTAAAACTTAACGCAGATGACCCTTTTTTCGTCGGGAAATGCATTGCGCATACCCACTGGCCGATGCGGACAGTCAGTGGGTTATGTGGGACTCTCTCCACCAGGATGGCGGGGCCCACCCACTAAAATCTGACGTTATCCTCCGGGGCCATTGAAACGGAGCCGTCAGTTGTCATCCTAAAAATCATCAGTAGTATCATTGATCGGCGATTTAGCCGTTCTTTAAAAGCTGAATGCAGCGACAATACTGTCCACACCCTTAAAAAACACACTAACGCCAAACTCGGCGGTTGAGTCGCTTTTCGGAAGCTCTATGCAGCGACATCGCTAAAACTCGCGATTCCAATACCGCATCCGAACGCATGACATCGCGAAATTGCGATACTGCATCGATACAGTCGCAAAATCGACGATTGCTGAAAAGTAGCATGTCTTCTGTGGCCCTAAACTACCCTTTTGCATAACTCGAATTACTGTTTATTCTTTCACTGTGATCAAACTAGGATCGCGTGACTGAAGAACACTTGTTCCCTTTCTCATGTTTCACTTTCGTTTCATTCTACACACTACATTATTTTCATTTTCCTCATAACGTGTTTGGTAGTCCGATAGCAAATGGACACGGTGAATCCTTTGGAATTTAACGTCCCAAGTATGGTTTTGAGTGAGTATGCAATTAAGGAAAAGTTTTTACGCTAAACTGAAAGATATATTTTGTTGAATTTATAACGTTTTTGATTAAAAACCGACATTTATTTATTTTATTTAGGATGCATAGGTAACTTGTAAATAGTCATAATTTAACTGCGGTGCATATCAACAAGTTCGAAATTGGCTAAATTAGGAACGATCTGTTATAAAACTTATATCAAATATCCCACCAGAACAGCCCTCTTACTTGCCAGTCTAAACCGTCTAAATTTTCCAGAACTGACCATCTAGTTCCCTTTAGAAGATGTCATTCGTCTCCCAAACGGTTGCCGGGTTGAGCCAAACGCGCCGCGAGGACCCGCCTCCGCGGCAGCACTGCTCTCACCAGCACACCCACCGCAGGCACCAGCTCTGCCGAAAGAACAGTCTGCCCGAATGGGACCCCCCTGAGCCCAGAGCCAGAAAGAACAGCCTCCCAGCAGATATCATCGACAGGGTCAAGGACTCCCCGTCCCACAGCCCGCCAATTCTAGAAGAAGAGTGACAACTATCCCCGTAAGTCAGACCGCAGTCCTTGGTGTACCCTGACACTTCTAGCCCGCATGGACACTCCATAGCACGAAGACGAAGAACGGCTTTGTGGGACAGGCCCCTTGCATGCTTAGAAGCTTCTGTGAGACCCTAGGGGAGGCCTTGCACGAAAACCCTGTATAGATGTGTTTATTTTGTGATTAATGTTTATTTGAAGACGGTGTTGTATATGTTGCCTTGAAGATGAAGGGCATGACATGTGGAAGACGATGGTCTCATCAAGAATTTGCCAAAAAAATTGGGAGTAAAATTGGTTTCTGTATTAAAGTGTAGGCACACCGCTATGTTGGCATTTAGGAAATTGATTTAGGAATTTTATGAACTAGAGACAGCTGGAAACTAGATTACAGCAATTAATAGCGGACCCTTCCAATCTTCTCAGGGAAATGACACATTAAAATTAAAGGACCCCATAAATTCTAATCTTGCTATCGAGTGAAATGTCGACCTGTGCCAATTTTCGGTAATGGATTATTACTGCCTTCGTTGATTGGGAGTAAATTAACATTTCCAAGTCAAACGCGCTGTTTAAATCGATATCTAATGTAATTTTTGATGAGAGTGTAGTCCTGAAATACGACGAATGAAAGTCACCGTCTTTTTTTACCTGTGTATAAATATATGTATTCAATGAAATTGCTTTAAATGTCTTTTATTTTTAATGTACTGCAACTTTTGTATATCCCAAAACTGCTTGTCAATCGCACCTTTTAGGTTGATCTGTATGTAGCGAGATATTGTACTTACTCTTTTTCTGAACATTTTGATATTATTCTATGAATGATGTTATTAAAAAAAGAACTGAAAGGCCAAAGGCAAAGAAAGTAATATCATAGTTTTCAATTAACGAGCAAAGGAAAATACTCCCTAAAACATTCTCCTACAGCAAATTGCTCGTAACATAAACACTGGTTAGGAACTTCCCTAACGATTCCATCCGAACGAAGCTGAAAGTTTGAACTGCTGATGAATAAAGTCAAAGTCATAAAGAATTTGCCCCATAACTTGAGAAGGTCAATCGGACGTTTCCCTCACTAACGTGTGCTAAACTACGGCGGCACGCGAGTTTGCCACGCAAGCACTTGCATCTAGCACGAAAAATTTTCGTCTTCAGATCGTTTGCGTATTTGACAAAATTCGATGAAAACCTTCGAATTCAACGATAACGTGACGATCTCGAAATTTATTGTCAAAATTAGTTTCGCGCTACCATTTCATTTTACTAAGTTCGCTTTACGTCACGTTTACAGAGGCGCTGTTTAAGTCTTTTGATGGCGATTCGTATACGCAAACGAAAGTTTTTCGTGCTAGAGGTACTGCTATCAGGTTATCGGGGGAAATGAAGACATGATGCCGTAAAAGTAAGCGACTAAGATCTGATAACGAAGCTTTTACTGATATAGAACAAAACGATAAAGTGCTTTCAGTTTTACTGCTGAGTAATATGAATGATAACGTACAGACTGTGCAAGAAGTTGTATTAATATAAATCAGTGTAGTAAACCCCTAGCGGCTACTTTCAAGAACTAAAATCTTCATGGATTTTCTTGACGCACTTGCTAGCGAACACACCTAACGTAAACATGGTAAGCACACTGATGCAATAAAGTGACGTAGATTGATCTTGATTCTAAAGCATACCGATGCAACGGCATTAGCCAAATTAGTATCGGAGAAAAGTGCCAAAACAGGTCGAAATGTATCGTACTCATCATCCATATCGATCATTGTAACAATAAAGAAGCTAACAAAAATAAAATTAATTATATCTCTCTATCCATGTGTTCCAATGACCGCATTTTTCATACAAATAGAAAGAACACCGAAATGTAACACAGACAGAAGCTTTTAAATGAGTCATCAGATCATCAAGTCAGGTGTGCAAATAGCGTATCATGTTAGCTGAAATGACTTGCAAGACGCAACCCATCATCTTGAATACATCAGCCTAATGCTAAGTAGGACGAACAAAACTATACTCATGCGAAATTAAGGTAACTTTCTTGACCGTCATGCTTTTACGCTTTCGCAAAAAGCTCCAAGCACCAAGTGTATATGACACTGTGTAATTTCTAACCCAAATAGTTTACTTAAGGTCTAGTTATCCAAGTTTCTTGATTATAGGTGTGAACAAAAAGAGACGTAAAGCAATATTCTTCCTAAAACCTTGACGTGTTCAATTTCCTCTGAATCTTCAAGAATTTCCACTTAGACTTCGTTACAATAAAGAGGCTGGGTTATTGAATATCCTAGTCGCCTTTGGAAGGGCAAAAAGGTATTTCCAGGTTTCTAGAAATATTTTATGCCAGGTAATGAAATTGCGGAACGCAAGAGAAGCATTATCAACCTTTAAAATAAATCTTATGCCGTTTCTTACTTGGAAATGCTCTTCGATTTTCATGTACATTATTTTTATTTTCTATTGATCTATTTACTTTGCACCTCACTGTATTAAATAAGTTTGTTGTTTTACTGTGTTTTTGTGATATCAAATATAATCGTCGTATTACTGTTTTCTTCTATTGGTGTTTTTATTTCTGCCCCCAGTTTACGGTAAATAGAGTTGTTATGTCTGGAACTATTCCTTCTAGTCCACTTAGAGTTCGAGCAAAGTTCAAGGCAAGATCGTGGGTTGATCTTGAATTAATGATTGGATAAGTGGTCGGATTTGACATCGATACTAACTGAATTATGGACAAGTACTTACCAAATATGCCTCATTGCCTCTGTTTCATCAGACCTGAAAATAAGACCAGTTTTTCTATATTATAACATGCTCTATGTGGATATAATAAAATCGTTACATCAATTACTTTTAACTTCCACCATGTACGATTTGGAGAAAAAATTAAAATGGCTATATCGATGTTCAATTAATCACCATGTAATATCATACCTAGATTCATTTCAGTGACAAAAGACGATCAACCATACAATCAGAATCAATTATAACCCCCAAAAAGTATAATTTCCTCTCAAAACACCAGCTCACCCACATCTCTCCTTGTTACAGGCGGAGCGAGTTCCTAGGATGTGTCTCGTTCCCACTAAAAGATGCGAGCAGTAGTGACGTCAGCGGGACCTACTTCCTCCAAGGGCGGCAGGGCGCGACCAATGAGCGGAGCGAGCGACTAGTGACCGAGGACAAGCGCAAGATGGCCACCGACAACATTGAGACCAGCACCAATGACGGGACTAAAGAGAACCATAATGATAAAGGTAATTTTCTAGCTTTTGTCCCCTTAAAATCCGGGATTAAAAGTAGTCTGTTTTATCTTGGGTCTTAAACCTCTCTATAGCTTAAGATATCTCTAGAGCAATTTTCTCCAAAATACATTCACAAGGTGTTGAAAGAGTACAAACAAAAAACTTTCACATTTAAGGTGGATTCGACCAAACAAGAGTAAATATTAATCTCAGAATAAATCGTCAGTTTTGACATTATTTCCCATACTGAAACTGTCAATATTCCAGTTATACCAGGAGTTATTCTCGAATAAAAGTTTGGTCGAATCGGGCCTAACTAAGATAAGTGCTCTTAACATTTCCAGACACTATACATTATGAAGTAAGCCAGAATTACAGAAAGTTCTGAAACAATTAATCAATGGTATCTTCAATGACCAACCTTCAGTTAATGGGCAGGTTAAAAAGAAATTGTTTACTCATGCGTTACACAAAAACATGTAAACAACTACCGCAAAGTCAAGGGGTCACGACTAACGGTCACGTAAATTAACTTGTAGTTAAATTGTAACTCTTTAATTCGTTAACTGCCACCAATAACTCACCCAAAAATATACCTTTTAAATATCAGTGAATAGAAAACATGATACAGATTTATAGATAACGATGGAATGCCATTAGTTTTATTATTCTTGGCAAGGACGTAATAATACGAGGAATTTTGGAAGTCATATGGAGCCAAGTATGAGGCAATATTTATGCTCTATGAACGAACGCTGGGCACATTAATATTCCGCAATAGATTTATTATCTGCGGGTATTCCTTTCGAGAGTTCCTTGGATCTTTCTGATGGCTCTTCATTGCTAATTCCGTCATATACCGTAGTGTCATAGCAAATCTCTCTTTTGCCACCAAGGGCGTAACTTGTAGCAAGGATTTTGTTGAGAGTGCAAAAGAGAGATTTGATAGTTACAGATTAGAAATTAGCTCGACTATTGTCTTCTTTCCTTAAAGAACATCCTAAAATAAAGGAATGATAAATGTGGCATAGATCTTTCTGAAACCAAGACTCAACTTCTATCTCCAATATCTAACGCTCGTATTCACAAACGAAGTGAAGCAGCAAATCAAACGCACAGCGTTGAATAGAGCTCTGTAATTGGTACTGTGTTACCCTGTGCGTCCACGCGCACTGTGAGACCTCATAGTAATGTTTGTGAATACGAGTGTGAGTAGCTCAGAGGTCAAGAGCAAGGTTAGAGCAGTCGCCTAGGATGTGTAGGGTCGTGGCTTCGATTCCCACCTTAAGATCGATTGTTTCAAGTTATTACATTTTGAGATGCAGCTCTTAATGCTAAAAAAAACTAATCAACTTCAATCTACCAGGAGTGGCAACCAACGGCCCGTCGTCAGCAACGAGCACGAACCAAGCACAAGTGGCCGCTGCTTTGCAAAGGGAGGCAGACGAGCACCTGTTCCTGCGATACTTGGAGCTGGACCCGCCTGACGACCCGGCCGCGCCTAGAAGAGCCCCTAGAAATGGCCGCACCCCCTTCACTACTACTAGAAAGTAAGTTTGAAGCATCTTTGTTTAAAAAGTGACGAAATAAGAGTCCTGTGAAGATTTAAAGAAGCTTTTTCATCACTGGGTGCTAAAATTGTATTACAGTGTATAGTGTGTCTATTACTTACTGTAATGTAACAATTTAACGTTTCTCCTTCCAATTTTGATCAATAACGTACCTACAGTTCAAGTTCAAGGTTTTTTACCACTAGGTTGTTTACTGTTTTTGTTTAGTCTACACCTATTATTTGGTAAACGAGAAGTGTAAATTGTCGTCCGCTATAAATTATTACAATAGAACATTTAGCACACAATAGAAGATGAATACATAAATGAACAAAAAAGCAACCTCAACACTATTTATTTATTTAAACTTTTATGCCAAAATAAATTTGTACATAAGGCGAACTTAAATTAAAATTAAAATTGAGCTACTAAATTTGAGCTACAATAGTTAGCTCTTTTGAATTAAGCCGGTTTCAAAGATATCAAAGTATTTATGAAAAGCTGTAGCATAACTTTACACCACTAACATAAGCGTCAAATGTAAAAAAAATAGTAAAGCACCTTACCTTCTTGAACAACTTCATTTCTGGAGTAACAACGGTCTGGTTCAGACATCACTTCCCAGATGCTTCTCTAGTCAGTCTCTTCAATCTTCATCTTCTGTCTGACCCAACAATTTCATTTCTTTCTGGAGTATCAACGAACTGGTTCAGACAATACTTCCCAAATCCTTCACTAGTCAGTCTCTTGAATCTTCATTCAGATCCAATAGTCAGTCTCTTCAACCTTCATATCCAATAGTCAGTCTCTTCAACCTTCATATCCAATAGCCAGTTTCTTCAACCTTCATCTCTTTCCAGACTCGTCCGCGGAGCAGCCGGTGGCTTCGGCTTCACGGTGGTCTGGACCAGACCACCCCGCGTGGAAAGGGTAGCAGCGGGGGGTTCTGCGGAGCGCGCGGGGCTTCGAGCCGGCGACTACTTAGTGTTCGTCGGGAATAAGAATGTCGTCACAGCGCCTGAGGAGGAGGTCCGGAATCTCGTTAAGTGAGTTCAAGTTCATTCATCATCATCGTCATTTTATAGGACGTCCATTTGAAAATAGGCCTCTCCCAATGATTATGGTTTAAGATCTTGATTCTCATTATTAATCACAAAAATTACTATAAGAACATAATACAAAGAAAATGGTTTCATAGAAAAACGTGAAAGTTGGGGGTAGTAAAAGTCACAGCGTCAGGCATAGATGTTTGGCAAAACAAAACAGAACACCATCCCGTAACCTTTATGAGGTCACCCTGTCCACCTAGACTTAATTATATCAAATTAATAAAGCTTTTTTATCTTTAAGCAATTCTCAAATCCTTTGACTTTTTTGCATAAAACTCCAGCCCAATAAGCCTCTTTTCAATGTCGTCTAATTATGTTTTTTTCACGATTTTAAATACAAATATAAAGCATTTTTTCTCTCGCGGATAAAGCAAGTTGAGAAGACACCAAAATAAACAAATGAACTCACAATACATCTTCAATTTCCAGATCAGCAGGCCAGTTCTTAACGATAGAAACGTTCAGACGGGTGCCCCCAAACGGTGTGGGCGTGCGTCCGCGCCTCGCTCAAGTGTCGATCCCCGCGCCGGAGTCGACCCCGCCGCCCGCGCCCCGCTCCCCCCGCGCGAACGCCCTGGCCTCGCCGGCGGCCGCCGCGCGCCCCCCTACCGCGTGTTCGTCGACCAGCCAGTCGCTCGACCGCCGCAAACTGCACTTACCGCAAGTCACCTTCTCCAAAGAGGTCGGTAACGGCATCATCGTTTAGTGGTACACGGTGCAAGTATTTGACGCATTAGATGTTCAGCAGGTTGAGGGTGGGTTGGAAAATTTTAATTTTATGACTAACTGAATTATAACTGAACCTAAGCCCACCTGGCTAGCTACCACCATCTTACCTAAGTCTGTGACCATAACAGCATTGTTATGTAAGATAGTTCCTCTGTGATTGAGGATTCCGGGTGAAGTTTGGTTCCACCTTCAGCCTTATCGTCAGAAGTTAGGCTGGTTATCGTCGCCAAGAACTTCCTCGTTGTGGATAAATTAATAATCTAAGTACCCATCTATTTTCAAATGCGTCTTATAAATGCAACATGTAAGCATTATCAAAATTTCTAATTGTGGCATACTAGTCATCTTAAAAAACGAATTTAATTTGGAATCAAAGTTTAGGAAAGTGGTGCTAGTACTAAACGTAATTTTCGTGTGCTTACGATATCACACTAGACCTTGTACAGTTACTGTTTGTAATGCTTTTGTTATTTATTTTGTACAGATTATTTTATACAGTAATCTTAGATTGTAGACTTCGTACATTCCATTATTTTATAACTCTATTATGTTATCGTACTTAGAATTTCTTTCTAATAATTAACTGTGTATTAGTTTTACTATTTTAACATTAGTTAGTAATTCAAATTCAATGAAAGGGGAATAGTTACGTTTAACCTCGCTGTTTTTGTTAATATTTATTTTGTTAATGTTTTCTATTTATTTTCTTTTCAAGACTTTGCGTGTTATTTTTATTTGTATTTCTAATGATTTTGCTATGTCATAGATTTTCACTTTGTCTTACTTTTTGTTTTTCATCATTTTTTTTGTCTTTTTTGTGTAATCATGAATGAATGGTTCCTGTTAATTTTATTTCGTTTCTAATTTCTGTTTCATAATCGCAAATAAATTTATTGCTTTTAATTTATTTCGTATGTTTTTATTTTTTATATCCTAAGTTTTTTACCCTGAGTTGTTCACACACCTACTTTTACTTATTTTGTTATTTATTTTTCAAACTTTTTTTATAAGTGAGAAGGGGCCAGGTTTTCCTGTACTTCTATAGGTATGAGAAAGGCATTTCTTCTGTTATTTTTACTTTATTATTATCTTCAATTTAACCAGATTATTAATAAGCATTACTAGATCATAACTTTGAATTAAAGAAAATTCTCAGCTTTGAACAATTCACGTATATTTCTGAATGTCCAGTCATGAATAATCTCAATATCCAAAATGACATTAATTTCAATTTTAACCTCAGCGAACTTAACCTTCACTGGTTAGGTTTTATTGGTGGTAAATCTTTAATAGATTTTGGCTACAACTCCTGGCAGAGATGTTAGAGCTAAGCATTTAAAAGAAGACAATCTTATTGCTGCCGCTGCTGCCACAATGTCTGGGGCATAAGGGGTTCTTATTAGCAGACCTCACTAACCGTCAATAAGTTTCAAGATCTTTGGTTAAGAGTTACCTTACTTGCTTAATAATCTTAAAATTAGGTGCTCTACAACCACCGCACAGTTGAATGAAGGTAGCAGAATCACAAACAATTCAACAAAGCACAGCACCAGACCCGTTTTAAAATAAATGAAATCGAACGAATTGTTTGAATTATGGGTTTTTTTCCTTAAGTCGTTGGACCTTCAGACGCCAGGTCTCTCGACGGACGTGCGCAAGCGCGCTCTCCTGGCGGTCGTGGCCAGGGAACAGCACTATGCCACGTGCCTCCAATTCGGGCTGGTGAGGTTCGTGTCTCCGCTCGCTGAGAGAGCCGATCTGATCGCGCCGAACGATCACCAGCTGCTGTTCCAGAATATCGAAGAAGTGAGTATTGTAAATTAAAAAGAAGAGACAGTAATTTATATTGAAATACGAGAGGAAGGTGTAGATTATAGAGTAGGATATGTACAGTCGATAGCACATGAGAATATCTACCTAATCCTTTTTTGTTGCAAAAGTCAGACTAAATCAATTAATCCTAATATGTACCCATTACAAGGGGTTTTAATAATAACAAGGAGTGTCGCGTATCAACGCCAAGCGTGTAATGTCTTAACAGTATGCTAGTCATAAAAAATACAATTTTTCTCTGGAAGAGTAAGTGGCAATGTCCACCAAAATTATGAGAGGACAAAACCATAGGCTGACATCAAAGTCAAAAGGTGTTATTTGTCTTACAAATCGAATCATCAGATAATGATGAGAAGATCTTATTTGTCTGGACTGTTTAATAATGCCTACAAATCGAATCATCAATGAGAAGAGTATCTAAACCACATTATTTTGCTGACAGATCTTTCGACTGTCTGAAGACATCTTGGACCAAGTAGTGCAAGATGACGGGGAGATACAAACGTCAACGGTGGTGGCGGTGTACCTTCAGAAGACCCCTGTGTTCCTTAGCCTTTATAAGAAATATTGTCTAGGATTGAAAAGAGCAGATTGTGTTCTGGTAAGTTCCACATCAAATCTTACATAATTCAACCAAATCATGAAATTCTCTTTTGTATCTGTTGATCTTCAAATTAGTGTTAATAATAGCAACATGAGAGTTGAAAAAGCAACAAAAATCCAAAGCATCAACAATAAATTTTAGCCACAGGACGTCCACAGCTGAACATAGGTCTCCCCCAATGATTTCCAGATAGGCCAGTTAGTAGCAGCCTGCATCCAGCACCTTCCTGCTACCTTTAAGATATCGTCTGCTCACCTTGTAGGTGGACGTCCTGCGCTGTCATAATATATTATTTCAAACTGCTTATCAGGTCAAAAAGTCAAAAGACCCGAGTGGAGCGTTCTCTCGCTTCTGCACCAGCCCGCCTATACCTCGAAGAAGGCCGGACATCACGTCGCTCGTCCACAAGCCCTTGGAGCAGTTCCGAGAACTGCTGAGGCTGATGAGGACTGCTGCGGCTGCCAGCGGCGCCGGCCCGTATGACCAGCTGGAGAAGAAGCAGCTGCAAGTCATTGTAGAGCAGTTACAGGTGATTGCGGATTTTAATCATATTCATATTAAAAATAATATGAGGATGGATGGATGTCTGTTATTCTTTCACGCCTAAACCACCGAAATTATTTAGATTATTTTGGTATTTTGAGACTCGTAAAAAGCCATTATCAATTTTTGGAATGCGCATGATTAAAACTTTCTATGACATAGCGAAATCCACTCGGGCGAAGCCAAAGAAAGTCATTGATATTAATATTGCCTTGTTCAAAAGGAACGTTAGAAGTTCACAATTCATTCAATTTTTCAAGAAGACTGAAGAATTTATCAATGACTTTGGCATCTTGTTAAACAAAGGTATTTTTTTCAGAGTGGATATCAAGACGTGACAGCTGGGTCTGGTCTGATGGGCCTAGCTGGTGATGGGAAGCCTCTACTGTCGGTCTCAGATCTGGAGAGCAGACTGGTGTTCACTAGGTGTAAAGTAAGTACATTATGTAGGTACTTTAGAATGAGTAGCTGTACCTTGTGTAGGTTTATAAGCGTTGCTTTGAATAGATAAGTAAATTACTAGCGAACAGGTGACATCAAAAGTTGGTTTGGCAAAATCTATAGGGTGACCAGACCACGCTGTGTCAGGTTAAAAAACATCATCATTTTCAAAGTGGTGGTGGTGACTCTTTGGTGTCAAGTAAAATAACTTTTAGATGTCATCTTCTACTCAATTCTTTCAAAACCATACTCTTTAATCTATGTCCTTTCCGCCAGCCGTTCGTGCTAAGCACAGCTGGCAGACAGTGGATCTTCGGCGGGGAGCTCTCAAGGGTGGAAGGACGCGCAGTGAGGCCGTACTGGGCACTACTATTCACGGATCTGCTACTCTTCGCGACAGTGTCAAGGGACCGAGTGCTGTTCGTTACGGAGGAGCCGGTCGCTCTGGGAACCGTGTCGGAAGCACAGTTCAATGTTAGGAAAAAAGGTCAGTTGTTGAAAATTAATTTTTCAGCCAGTCACAAAGTACCATTGCTTGCTTGATTTATTTGTGACATGAGTAATGCCCGTATTAACAAACATTACTATGAGGTCTCACACTGTACAATCACAGAGCTCTATTCAACGCTGTGCGTTCGATTTTTAGCAAATAATGATGCTTATTATTTCTAAACTCACAGAGATTTAAAAAGCGCTATGATGACCGTTGAGGCAGAAGAGTCCTCAATTTCTGCCAAGGCTACTAAAAGGCTACTAAAATATTCATAAAAACTTCCTTTACCTAATTCCAGCGACGGAGTTCCGCCTCATCCTGGGCAGGACCGGCGGGGAAAGCCCGCTAGTGTCGTGTGCCCCGCGAACGCCCCACCGCACGCGCACCGTGGTCCTTCGAGCGCCGTCGATAGACTTGAAGGCTGTGTGGCAGAGCTTGCTGCAACGGCAAATGTAAGTTTATCTGTAACTAAGAACTGCTGCTACGCCTAGATGCTAATAAACTACATCAAAGTTTGCGTGGAAATAAAAATAGAAGTAAATAGGTACACACTAAGTCCTGGATACTGTTATGGATCGATACGTCTACTCTGGGGAAAGGTATCTAACGAATTGTACAAAAACAACAAATGTTATTTATATTCTTCAACTACCTTCTTAATAACACTATCTTCAGAGTTGTAGAGCACATTGTAAATATCGCACTTATCTTTTCTACAGATACCGCGCGCACACGATGACAGGGACGCCCCTGGGCTCGCCTCTAGACTCGCCGGACCCTCAGCTGACGTTCTCCCTCGCCACCCTGGACTCGCAGCAACGCCAGGTATCCGCGTCCAGCATCCAACGGCACTCTAGCCTGGCTCTCCTGCCAGCCAGCTCTTACCGCTCCCACCTCAACATGCTCGTAGAAGAACGCCCCGAAAAAGAAGTCAGGGTTAGTTTTGATGTCCGCACCAGCTCAGATTCCCCCACACCGCAACCTGTCAGGGGCCCACTCAGCACTGTTTGGAGAACAGCTCCCACACCAGAAACACCCTCAGCAAACTTATCCCCAGCTGAATCGCAAACGTTTTCGTCCCACTTTGTCTCATCCTCCAGTATTGAAAAGAACGAGGAGAGAGCCACGTCCCCGAGTGCTCAACTCACCCCTGAAGGTGGTGAAGACTATTCAGAAACTTCTCCATGCAGATGGGAGTCTTTTGAAGCAGATCTGGCTTTAGCAGACTTAGACGTCGATCCTTCTTATAAACATGCAGTGGAAGAACGGATCTTTTTGCCCGATGATCCCTTGCTGCCACGAGTGGCCCTGCCAGAACGGCCGACTCCCCCTGCTTATTTAGAACTTTGATCCGCGGAGTCAGATCCGGAGTTAGCAGACTCCTGCTTTCCCCGGAGATCTGGCTACAAATGGAGATAAATAAAACGTCGACAAACACTGCGAGTTTTTCAGTGGTGTTCTGTGCTCCTGTGGCATTAGATGGTGTTTAGGCAAAGAATCCACAGAAGCAGTGAGCTTTTGTCACGTAGACGCCCAGAGGGCGCGAGCAAAGTTTGTTGGATTGTTAAAAATTGCTTATAGATGAGAATAAGGTTGTGGTAAAAATTTTGAGAGACATATTTTCGAACATTAGCAGTATTGAAAAGAAATCTCGGTATTTTGATTATAATAGAAAATTATTAATAAGTCTGATACCCACTTATGATATTACAGTGTTATTGTATTAATATGAAAACCCAACCGAGTGCTGCAAAAGTTTTCTCAGAACTGATATAATCCACAAATGGGGTAATTAGAGGTACAACTTGCTTAAGTATTAACCAATTATAATGCCAATTTACATTTTAACAAATACACTAAAGCTTCTTAAAACTTTCGAAACCCAGGACTGGCTTATGTGGCGCTGACGTGCGACAGCCCGCTGGCTGAGCCCTTCTTGCAATAGTGCAACGATTTGTGCTGCTTCTGAAGGTGTAGAATCCCAGGTAAAATGTCAAAAGAAGCGGAGATGTGTATGAATCAACGTGTGAAAGCAAAAATCCGAAAACGCGTGCTTTTATAAGGGGTAAATAGGCCGCAAATCGCGACGTATCAAACAGTTCATACATGTCTTTTTCGTTACTTCTCCACATCAGCCGGGATATCTTTTTAAATACTGGTGTGATTTAAATGAATTTGGTATCAATTTAAAGATAAAAGTTTAATCTTTAAAATGGTGCCACTTTTTTGTTCCTAACAAATTCGGTAGTACACAAGATCGCATGGAAACAACTTCATGTAAGTGATTCCATACTTTTGCTCGCGAGTGTAGTAATCAGTGTCAAAATTGTAACTGTAGGGTACCAAGCCGTAATAATACTTAAAGACTTCGAACCTAGCTCGTTTTATAATATATTTTTGCTTCTTACGTCTTCCGTCCTTTAACTTTGACGAGTTACGCTTTTCTTCTAAAATTACTAATTTCAGAGGCAATTTTGAATTTGTTTCTACACTATCTTCTTCTTATGAATGTACTAATGACATTTTATTCAACATAATATTATTGTGTAACGGAATAACTACCTAGATGACATTATTTTCCACTGTATCGATGTTGTAAGCATGTGACTTCAGATTCTTACATTGTAAATCTGTACATAACATGGAATCACTTGTACAGGTCATGTGGATATTTGGCGATCAGCTTCGCGAAATCAAATCATGTAGAAAATCATCGTAGATTTTATGTAAAGCAATTATAATTTGAACATCGCTTCTTTTCGCACTTCGCCTAGAAATTAATGTGTTTACTTTGAACAATGGTAGTCGGTGTAACACTTCAATGTGATATATTTTAGCTACTGCTTTTTGTTTTTGTATAATATAAACATATAGATAAATATGTGGATCATGTAATAGCAGATGTATATTGATATTAGACTACGCGTATTATATCGCTAGCATCGCAAAATGTTCACATAACCTAAACCCGGGTTTTAATGTGTATATGACCTCCTTTTTTACAAAAAGAATTGGTAGTTAGAATCAATAATTTTCGATGTCTTTGGCTGTGTGTAAATTTTAATATAGTAATAGAATACAAAAAAGATAATTTTGAGAAAACATTTTACTTGAAATTCTGGGTTCTTTGTGACATTTAATGGACTTAAAATATAATAATATATGAATTTGGATGTTTATGTTTAGATCGGAGCAGTATATTTCTAATATCCGTAATAAAGTGATTTTGTCAATGGCGAAAACTACTTTTTTTATTTCAATAACATCTGCAGGAAAAATTTTGCGACGCTAACGATTTCTTGTATTTTTTAATAACGACTTACCATTTTTCTGTGTATTCCATTTAATATTTATCCATACCAAGCAATTTATTTATGATGTTTAACTTATTATAATTAACCCTTTATTACTTTACTAAATGTGCTTTTTATAAAATGTACATACAAATTCGCACCAGCACGTCGCAGAAATTTCAAATTAACTTATTTTTATTTCTAAATAAAAGTCGCTTAAACAGCTATTACATACAAGGCACAATGCACACCGTGTTTGACCCAAGAGAGTAAGTTTTTTCTCACATTCTAATAAAGTTATTTAAATTAACCTATGATTTTTGGATCGTTAAATATCCACATTAACCTTTTAATATCAAATCTTGGACTTCCCTTCATCATTCGTGGGGAAGACCAAAATTTTCAAACACTAAAAAAATACATTTAATTGAATAATTTTTGAAATCAAATAAAGTACAGTCGCCTTAACATAGGCACATTAAATTGTAGACGCGCCGAAGTTCTGCCGAGACTCAAACCGGTGCTGGTGGTAGTGCGACGGAAGGCGCAAGGAGCACCAGGAGTAGGGGGTCTACCTTGCACCTTCAGAGGTGGATGACGCAACTGCCAGAAGCCGAGGAGATGGACCCTCCTGAACCAGATATGGAGGTAAAAGATCATGCTGATGATCAACATTTAAGTACTAGAGCACGCAATAAACTGTAACACGAACGTAAAGTTACAATCACAAAATTGGGTTTGCCTTCGTTTTTGTCTTGTACTTCCAAATTGCAAATGTTTAATAGCAGAGTCTCAGACGACTCTTCTAAAGTTTTGTGTAAAAGTTCTGCGGGGTTCAACACTAACGCTATACGTATCATTATCATTAGATGATAATATGCCTATCTTCTTACTCAAGCAATTATTGAAAAATATACATAGTGTCACAGAATGTAAAACATAGTATTGAGCGGAATTATTATGATAACTGTGACAAAGCTGTATTTATTGTTCTGCTTTCGCTTGATACGTATGTTCTGTGATGCTAAGTATAGTATTCACTAATAAACCTTTCTTTCTGCCTTTTTCTATTCCACATTTAGGATCGGCAGTCTCCGATATGACACATTAAATCAGCAGATGGACAAGTTAGTAACAATAGTTGCCACAAGTCCCATTGCAATTACAAAGATCCACACCAGAAATATAATTTTCAGATGTGGAGTGTTGAAGAGCTCAGGAAGAGATCCAAGGAGCTTAATCTATTAGAAGTAGCTGATCTAGTTATAAACGCTCCAGAAAATAAGGGCTCCTCACCTGCTGAGAAAAAAGAGACAGAACGAAGCCCGTCTAAAAGCAGTAATTCTGGAAGTCAGGTACAAAGAAACAAACCTACCGTAGGTATTTCAGTAATTAATACTCATTTCCATGTTATTATCACTATCATTCCATTTACAGATAACAGTCCGAACGAGTCCAGTGGTAGTTGACACGATCCCAGTATGCAGACAGTGCCACAAAAAATGCTTGTCAAAACCAAACAGTCCCTTAATATCCCAAAAAGAACCCCCCATACCCGTCAAACCAAAACCAGAGCCTTCGCCACAAAACTCGAACTCTAACAAAAGTTCAACAAGTGCGTGTAGTGCAAATTGTGGTAACCGTAAGCCAAAAAACTTTAGTCATTTAGAGCGAAAAGGTGCTATCAAGATACGTCCTGAAGATGCCCCATTAGCGGCCTTAAAAGTCATAGACTCAATTGAGCAAAGTCAAAAAATGCTCAAGTCTACGTCCTACGAATTGAAAACTGATTCACCTATTTTGAACCGAAGCGTCCACTCTCACTCAAGAAGCCATACAAAGAGCCAATTGGAATTGAGGAAAGAACACTCCATCAGATCGCCAAGTCCATCATCTAGCAGTAGAAATAATAGTCCACTATCAACTAGTCATACAACATGCAGTTCCATGGTATTTAATTCTAGTTCTAACGACTTAAGAATGTCTAACTCAAACATTGCCAATCAAGTACAATGTGTCATAGCACAAGAAAAATATTTGAATGAAGTGAAATGCGTTGAAAGCATTACATTGTCCAAATCCAAAATGACTACATCCAGTTACCCATCGCCAGCATCAGCTAGAAAGGAGCAGATTACACGACAAAAGGCTGAGAATGTACTTAATAAAGTATTAGGTATGAACATTATTACCAAAAGAGAAAATGTAGGTTCATGTTTAAGAACATCATCGGTTTTTTTAGAAGACGATTCCATTCACGAGGATGATAACGATTTTAAAATAGATAGAGGTTTAAGGAGATCCCCCAGAATGGGTATATCTGCTGTTAGTAAAATGAATGGGGATATAAATAAGAAGACTGAGCGCACAGAAGATTTTAATGCTAACACTAATCCGAGTGAGCTAGGTTCTGATGAAGATTTAGAGTTAGGACCGCTTATGCTGATGGGCTTGTCGGCCATCAACCCAGCAGCGCACCTAATGCGTGTGGAGCCGTTCAAAAGGCAGACAGTTGGAAATACCAACAATTTGTCGAGACCGGGCAGCCTTGGTTCGGTCAAGTCCGAGTCTCCGGTCCCCAACATAGCTGTAGTCCCACCAACTCCTGATTACAACACCACCAATAAGACTGTAAGTAGTTTCCATTCATGATATAGTAGATCTATAAAAGACATTTTTATTATCTACAAAATTTATTATTATTACAAAATTAATATCATTTGGCTAAACATCTGATTCTAGATGAAAACCCACTTCGATCTGATGTACTTGCAGGATTCACTGATAGATGACTCCCCAGATTCTCCTGATGTGCCGGAAGATCTGCCTTACATATCTCTCAAAAGGTATGTGATTGTGATAATTATGTAATTGCAAGAGATTGCAAAATAGTTGCAATAATAGTAATGCCACCACTAATTGCAGATACGGCACAATGTCAAGCCTGGAGAGGCTACCGTCCGATGAGACTGACGATGGCAACGTAAGACTGACGGCACAGGAGCCTGAGCCTATCAAACCTTACAACCCAGGTATTAATAATATTATGATAGATACTAATAAATAAATCGCAATCTAATCAGAGCCTTTTAGCTAAAAATGGACATGTTATTTATCCAGTTACTGGAGCGGCTGGTGGCATCATGGGCTGGACAGCAAGAGCAGGCTCCTTCGTAGTGGAGAAAATGAACATCTTCAGTTACACAGAAAGCGTTCCAAACACCTCTATTGCCCACAAACAACCATCGTTCTTAGAAAGGTACCTATGTAATTATTCTTTAATATTTCCATTTCATGAACCTACCTACCTATTTTTCCAGTAAATCGTCTTATGTTATACCGTCACTTACTTTGCTCTCTAACATTTCTGGCTACTTAGTTTATATTTTACCCACTCTATCATGCTTAATCGAATCACCTTTCACTGTTTTTATTTGTCTACTAATTATCTTTCCCTTTATCTATTAGGAGGAATTCTTCATCACTTTGGGTGATATTGAAAACACGATAAGTATGTCTGGGAGCTAATTTCAAAGTTTGTGTTATGTATTTAGGTGTATCTTTTGAGCTCATAGAATGTTACAAGTTACAAAGCCTTTAGTGAATTATTTATTATTCTTTTCAAAATATTTAATTCACGTGAAGACTTATTTGTTACTTTAATTTTGTTACAAAGTATTGTATAAATGCTAGAATACGAAAATCTTAGATAGATAAATCCTATTCTGTGATAGGTAACAATAGTAGTAGTTCGTCTCCAAATACATAGATTCAATATTACATAGATAATTATGATTTAGAGAAAAGTTGTACTACAACAATAGAATTTAGAAATACGAGTTCTTAATATCTATAAAATATTTTTAAAAAAATTACAAAGATTAGATTTAGTTTTAGATCCAATTTTATGTTGAAACACGACATAGCCAAAAATCTTATTTATGTTTCTACATGTTACTTTTGTTACATTTTGAAATAAATTATGTTCTGTAGATCAACTAAAACGTTACTTAACAATAATGTAAATCAACTTACAAAAATATCTTAACTTTTAGCTAATTATTACTTTTAGATTAGATTTGTTTTAGAATTTACATTTTATAATAGTGTTTTTTTACATTGTTGTGCAAATAACATTACAAAATTATAAACATTTCACGATTTGTTTCTCTTTTAGATGTTTAGGTGTGAGTGATTGGAAATCAGCTCTTGGAACAGAAGAAGGCACGGCAGAGACGGGAGAAGGTAGCGGGGCAAGCGGAGAAGAAGCATGGGGAACCCCATCATCTGGTGACTTATCAGACAACCTCCCTGATTCTGAACATGGGACATTATCGGTACGTACTTTTGCTACCCACTATAGTTATAGTCATAAAGCCTTGATCACAGTTTAGGTACAATGTAGGTAAAATTTTTACTCGGTCGAGACAGTTGGGTGAGCAAGTTACATACTCGAGCGTTCGGCCGAGCACTCGGCGCTATGTTCATACACACCGAGTACTCGGCCGAGAGCACTGTCTCGCCCGTTTACTCGGTACGTGTGATCAAGGCTTAATAATAAGACATCCCAAGTACTTATTGATGGTCTGTCTGATTGTCTCTTTTTTATCTTTTGAACAGAAATCTTTTCATTATTCCAGTCACCCACCAAGTCATCGTCATCATACGCTGGCGATGATGACACGGAGTTGATGATGGACGAGCTTCTCATGGCACCCACAATAACCGGACCGACTACCCTCAGGCCGTTGTTACCAAGGTAATTTGTATATTTTATATTATTGTATTTTTAATTGCCAATTTTAAGCCAGTTTATCGTACTTCTCACGATATTATAATATTGTAGAGCTTAACAACTCAAATGCTTTTTAAATTATGTAGTGCAGTAGTTTTTGGTGTATCGCTTTGCTTTTTTCAATACTTAGTCATTACTTTACAAGCAACACAATACATTTTACATTTCAAAACAGAATACTAATGATACATTGTAAATTAGGGATGTTTTCAGGAGAAGGCTTGAGCCTCTCCTGGAAGAAGAATGCTCAGACAGCGGTAGTGAGGACAACAAGGCTACACCCACCAACTCGGATGACCAGGTGAATATCTGAATCGAACATTAACAAATAGAATGATAAAATATAATACTAAGTAATGTGGTATAAATAATTTAGACTGTGATAGACAATTTGAAATGTGTAATATAACTATTTGTAATATGACCAAACTAAATGTTATTAATTATTTGTTTCATCTGTCCAATTTTAAGCTTCTAGTATTTCTCTTGCAATGAGCAAAAAAGCAACGGTTTAGTATTTACAATAATATTATCATCATTAAACTCGTAAGATAAAATTTGACAGATGACAAAAATTTAGTTGTGCAAATTAATAATGTGTACCTACCTGATAATGTCATAGCATGCCAATATTGTACAAAGGATACTGAACAAAGCATGCGTGTTGCATGAAATACATTTATATTTGTTTAAATTCCATAGATACGTATTCAACCGAAACACATCACTTAGAACTTTGATATGACTGAAAATATTTTCATGTCCAAAAACCTCCTAACTCCTATTCATGGGACATTCCTCAATCAATATAGCGTTGGCCAAAGCCGTATTTCAATAGTATGGGTTAGAAATCGAGAGCAAAATTTCAAAGTAGATTCACCGAAAGAGTATTGGCAAATCGCGACGCGTAGTCTGTAGCTAGGTTAAATCTCACATTGTGACTGGTCCGCTGGTGCGGCGCTTGGCGCAGGGCAGCGTGCATGGCCTCGATGCTGACGACTGCTGCGACGTGCCGCGCCGGCCGCCCTCTGCTTCCGAGTCAGGTGGGTTGAACTACGTCGGTGAGTTATCTAGATGACATCACACTAATCTCTGTAAACCGAACAAAACATTTATGGTACTTTCTAATACTGATGAGCTAATTGCGACTACTATTTATTTGGAATTTATATTTGTATTTAATGATATTGATTCTTCACACTCAAATGACGTTATTACCTATACACATTGATCTATCACATTACATCACGATTCAAAAACTAACAAAACACATTTTAACAGCGAAATGGACAACTTGAAAATTTTAAGGTGAGAAAGACAAAAATGTCTCTTTCACTTTTATACTTTTTATTACAAATGTTAAAACACATTTTAATTATTATATTTGCTATGCACGAATGCATGTCAAAATGTCCTTATAACACAAGGTGTTAGTATTTAGTGACAGTTTGTATATCCTTTCCAGGTATATTGATGTTGCCCTAGCACGAATACATAGTAGAGTTTTGCACCTCACATAATACATTATTAGTAGTTTTATTGAATCTAACATAATGCGAAAAGTATTCATTGCAGTTTCAGAATTCAAGCGAGCTCATGGTACTGATATGTTACAACATAAAATTGTTGGATCAGTTATAGATAAACAGAATGCTATTCAATCAAGACTATACATTGCTGATTGGGAAAGTAGACCGTAAAATTTCGGCCTTAAGGTTGAAACTTCTGCAGAAGCAGAGGACGGGGGTGCGGGCGCCGCACAAATTGCTGGAGGGGAGCCAGGTGGTGGCGCCGAGTCAGAGCTGAGCCCCGATCGGACGCCCACCAACGAAGTACCTTCGATGCCCTTACAATCTGGTATGTTAATTGAAAGAAAATACGTAAAATTTCTAAATTCTTAGAGCGCTTTTAGATTAGGCCGTTACTAGTGCGATTGCAGCGCAACAACGGCGTTTTTATTATGTGAAGACATGCATCCACTGTCAAATAGATGACATTTTCGGCAGCGTGTATGTCGCGCGTTTGTCGCGCTGCTAAATCGCATAAATGTGAAAGCGCTCTTAAGCAACTTCTTAAATGGAATAAAAACAATAAGCAAACGTCTCTGAATATAAAACCTAACTAGATTAGGAACGATATAGTAATTACTAAGGCTAAGGGCTATATTTCACCGGGACACCATGGCGGCGCAACCAGTCGCCCGCTACCAACAAAACGTACACAGCTCTATAGAGAGTTACTCACCTGGTGTCCGTTTGGTTACGCAAAGCTGCATACATTTTGTTGGTAGCGGTGACTGGTTACGCCGCCATGGTGTCCCGGTGAAATATAGCCCTAAGTTACGGTACAATCAAAGGGGGAGCACTAATTCAGCAGTGGACTGAAATAATGAAGTTACAATAGGGGCTATGAATGCATGTCGACATTACGTTAATGATTTTCTGAAGTAACAGAGTCCTTCATCATTCATCCAACAGTTTCAAGAGAGTGTGTGGAGGTGCGTGCCGCTGCTGCTGCAGCCGGTCGTCGGGGCTCAGCCAGCTCAGCAAGCACGCCCTCCACACTCGAGCGTACCACAATACACAACCCTACACCACATCACCCACTTTCACCAGGTAAGTGTGTATCATCATCAGAGGACTGAGTGTGAGTTTTTTTCAAACGCGCTCACTAGTGAGCACGTCAAAAAATGACATTAAATGTATGACGGATTTTACAGCGCACCTAGCGGGAAACTATCAAAAACTAAAATTTTCATACAATTTTTAAACGCGCTCACCAGTGAGCCCGTTTGAAAAAAACTCACACTCAGCCCACTGGTCATTTAGTCACTCTGCAGAAGCACGACCCTCTTATTTTACTACTTTACCAGACGCCAATCGAGGATTTGGCCTACACTCCCTACGCTGGCCATAACATAAATAGCTTCTGAGACTTAATTGTAATGTCCTGTAATAAAAATCTCACCATGTTCAATCGTATGCTAATAGGGATGTTTCCTGGGTCAAAAAGCAAGAGTTTTAATTAGTCCGTCAGTTAACTTATCAAAAAATACTCTACACGTATTTTTCACTTTTTCAAACTAATGAAAATTTAAAGAGATAAAGCGCGCCCAAGTTCATAAGAAGAGGCCCGTGACGTCAATGCTTGCATAAAAGTGCCGCACGTTGTGACGTCGTGCGGAACTTCAACGCACCATAACTATGTAATTATTTGTTAGATTGACAAATAAAAAAATATGTGTCCAATATTTTTTGATATTAAACATGACGGCCTAAAAAATTTTTTTTAGGAAACTAGCCTATTGCTAGTTATAAACGAAAGGCCGTGACAAAAGACTGAGTTTCTTCAGCCTTCTTCTTTTTATACATATTTGACACTGGTATATTTTTACTGATATCGAATTTGAAATCTGGCCTTTTTGTTAGGTTATCACTATCGCCCAGTAATCATCACTTACATAAATTACTGCATATCCCAAAGTTCGCCCATGATGTAGATAAGCCTAAGCCTGTCCATATGATCAGGTACACACCAGTACCAAGCGCCGTCTAGAAGAACCTTAAATTTCACTTATCCACGATGATCAACCACAGCTTCGGAGCCAGCACCAGTGGAGGAGCCTGTGCAGGAGGAGAAGCCGCCGACGCCGGAGAGACTCAGTCCGCGCGCCGAGATGCGCTTGGCACTGGACCAGGGGAAGGACATGCTGGCGGACCAGGAAGTGCCTTGGGTAAGCTCCTGGTATCTTTGAAATACGCCACATATCCACTAGAGGCAGCCTTGGGCCAAGCGGCTGCTTCGTCGCGAGGCAGATCAAATGGGGACACGACGGCACGTGGCATCATGCTGAGGTATATTCGTTGTCGCGAGTCGAGCCATATTCTGTCACTCGGAACAAAGCAGCTGATCGGCCCGAGGCTACCTCTAATGGATATACAGTCTAGGAAAAGCTCCTTAAGGAGGAGAAGTTACCGACTCCGGAGGGACTCAGTCCGCGCGCCGAGATGCGGCTGGCGCAGGGCTTAGGAACAGTTCAAGCTTGGGATTAGGAGTCAAGCTGCTGAGTCAAGAGTTGTAGCGGTGGGAACGAGAGGTGGAAATAGTCCCGTAATTCTTCTTTCTTCGTCTTGTCTTTCATTGTCTTTGATTTGTGATGTCCCAATAGCAAAGTCTTTCTTTGTAGACCATGGAGCCGTTTCGGACACGGGATGGCGGGTCCAACCTCTGGTCTTCATTTACATCTTAGTCCAACACTGGCGACAAGAAGCAAAACACCAATTATTCGTTCTCTTTCGTTTAAAAAAGTCGTCCTTTTATGTCCTGTTTCCATATCCGCAGACCATGGAGCCGTTTCGGGCACGGGATGGCGGGTCCGACCCCTGGTCGTTTCGCGCGGCGTACCAGCGCTCGCTGCTTTATTTACATGATTCAAACTAATTACAATAGGCTTTGCAGTAGCGACAAGAACCGAAACACCAATTCTTTCTTAGTTTTCTTTTATTTAAGTCTTTGCGTTGTGATACGCCAAAATAAATGCCTCTTATTATTTCAATGTCCTGTTTCCATTTCTGCAGACCATGGAGCCGTTTCGGGCACGGGATGGCGGGTCCGACCCCTGGTCGTTTCGTGCGGCGTGCCAGCGCTCGCTGCGTCGTTTACATGGTCCAAATCAATTGCAAGGCTTAGTAGTGCCGAAAATAAGCACCATAAACTAATTCTTCTTTCTTCGTTCTCTTGCATTTTTAAGTCTGCAGTATTGAAGGCCTCTTTTTTACTTGTCCTGTTTCCATTTCTGCAGACCATGGAGCCGTTTCGGGCACGGGATGGCGGGTCCGACCCCTGGTCGTTTCGCGCGGCGTGCCAGCGCTCGCTCCTGCGCCGCGTGGCGAGCGCGGACGCGGTGACGCTGTGCCGCGCGCATCCGCGCCGCACCGCCCCGCATACTACTTCGCGCAGTTCTGTATATGCTTGGAAGCGTGAGTATACTTGCGATCCTACTAATCCTACTAATATTATAAATGCGAAAGTTTGGATGTCTGGATGTTTGTTACTCTTTCACGCAAAAACTACAGAACGAATTTTGATGAAACTTTACAGTATTATTGTTTATAACCCAGAATAACATATAGGCTATAATTTATGACGCTCTGTGACAAACTAAATTTCATGCGGATGAAGCCGCGGGCAAAAGCTAGTATTTAATAAAGCTCTGTCCTAAATAATTATTGCCACCCCACCATGTAATATTATTAAATCCCGTTAACCCAGTAAACTAATCTACATTTAATTTTAAGCTTGCACCCTCAGAAGTCCGGAATATGTAGTCCGAAAACGACACCATTGTTATTCACTATTATTTAATTTTATGGTTGAAACCCAATGAAAATGTTCACATGTCGTATCCAAGCTATCGAAATTGCAGGCACGATGCATCAATACAAACAAATGGACCCGTTCGTAATGTCGGCAAAATAGGATACCACTAACGCACCGGCTTAAAAAAACTGAAATATCATACTTATTTTTCTACCACAATACTTATAAAGAAATAACATTAAAAATAAAATACAACACCTCACCTCACAAAAAACAATCCTAAATGCTTTCAACGTTTTTATTTTGTGTGCAGTTCCAGAAAACGAAACGAAGCTTATGGAGATGGAGCAACTGGCACGAGTGGAAGCTCAGATGATGCGTTCGCGGACGCGATCTCTGTGCCAGAACGGGAAGATGTGAGTTGAGTTATTAATACTGTCTCAATACTAATTAATACTGTCTCAATACTATTATTAATATTGTCTCAATACTGAAAAATAATAATTTATCTTCTAGTTGGAATCATGTTCGTTTCAGCCAAATGACATTCACTACCTACCTACCCCTCTACTACTATAACGACCGGTCCTACGCCGCACGCATCCAGAACCAAATGCTTCTGGCCACTGGGGCAGAACTTTTTTGCCCCAGCCGCCATCAATTCTAGCATGTGAATCAAAAAAGATTAATGGAATACATGAGCAACCTACCTTAAAGCAAAATTCCTGTAATAGATATTTTCTCGTATCTTGATGGTTGCTTGAAGGCCTTATACTGTGCAAATATCAGAATTTATAAAGAAGAAAAATCACGCATGACAGCTCTAGAATAAGACTGTTTCTGTATCCAGAATGGGTTTCCTTCGGCGCCGCGCGTCGTCCGATAGCCCCCGCCGCGAGCCGCTGCTACTCGGCTCGTCTCGTCCGTTCTCGCCTCGCCGCACCACTGTGAGCAACAACGGATATTACAAGATTTGCTTTGTCAATGGCTATGTGTAACGCACCCGCACACACACAGGCTTCTATGTGCCAATCAGCTGGATTTAAACCCAGGAAGTTTTTTCATTTGGGTTCTCCGTTAGGGTTTGGATTGTCTGGAGCATTGGTGGTACTGGGATTTCTGGGGATTTTAACTTTAATTGGACATTTTAATACTATTCATAGAAAAAAGATAAGTAACGTGTACCTATACTAATGGAAAAACTTTCTTACTCAACATTTTGTAGTGAAACCATTACCAAACACTTCTTGGTTAAAGTGTGAATATAATTTTTAATAATTCCAAAACTAGTCAAAGAAAAACATAACTTTGTGGTAACTTTGTCAAGAAAAATATCCAAGGTTTGACACTGCCTAAATTGTATAGTTTAGTAAAAAAACTACATTAAAATAATGATTCAATAAAAATTGTTAAGCCTTTTTATTAATAAAATTAATCTTGAGATTGAAGAAAAATACTGTTTGAGTGAAAAATTCTTAGGTAAGTGTAATACGATAAGTAGTGAGATTGTGCGTGAAACTATAGTCAATGTATTGGCCAATGAAATTGCCTTTTAATCATTAGACCTTTTGGAATCGAATGCCATTGTTAAAAGTATAACTAAACATTTTTAGTATAAAAATATTTCATGTTTTTGATGAATTATATTCGCTTAAACGTTCTTAATATTTGGAAAAATTGTTATTCGACTTTCGAATATTTGGCACTAAAGAGCTCATGTCAATTGTTCTGTCCTTGCTTAATTAAATCTTAGAATTATTAAAGTTTAAATCCAGCTTTCGAAATTATGCTAAATTCTTTGTTTTGTTGGTTGTTTGTTGAACTGATCTGTCCATTTTGATTGGAACGAGTGTTCTCAAAAATATATTTTTACCAAAAATTCATTGCGCTTTTAATTCTTCATCCTGCTATGCCCTTCCTTTTTTGATATCCTTGTTTGTTTTTTTGGTCGCTGCAGTTGTTACAGCCTGCGTTCTTCTTTATCTTCAATAGATGTCACTAAATTCTTTAGTATTCAAAATATAGAACTCACATCTTGCATAGAGCAATAGATCACAAAAAACACTATGCAACTCACTTTTTTGTCTGACGACTCGCTGCCTTTTCAGGCTCTCATCAGACAAGAAAATTTTTAGACTAATCTATTATGTATTATGTGTTAACTGTAATATTTTCCAGGAGAAACAATTCGAGAAACGGTTCTGGAAACAAGTGACCAGAAGACGTCAGTCATGCGGCTCAATAAGCCAAATTTAAAAAAGAACTGTAACTTAACAAAAATGGTGTTCATGTCTTTACTAAAAGACCGCTACTAGCACTAGAATTTAGAGACTGTAATGTGTAGATAGCAATTCGTGTTTCATAAACCGATGGATCTAATAACGAAAATGGTGGTGCGAATAATAAAGTTGAAGGTGCATTTACAAACTTTGACGATTGTGAAGAAGATTGTGATATCTAAGTAAATTTCGAACTGGAAAGATTGCCAAACGATGCCGGAGGTGTAATAGAAATGCCAAATAAACTGACGAATGGGACCTGTCGACTTTACTTCATATCGTAGATAGAGGAAGCCAATATAGTTAATATTTGGTGTAGGTACTTAGGAATTTTAGTACTCAAATAAATATTATGATTAAAATTGTACATACCTTTTCAAGGAGAGTTTTGGTAGATGTACAGTATGTATATTGATTAATAGATTGTTTTAAAAGATGCTTGTTGAAATAGATATCTTCGTACAAATTGTTTTTGCTACATGTCGTGTAACGCTGTTATAGTGATTACTGTTTTTCTTTATTATCACTGTTGTAAAATATAATATTGTTTCTTTATTGTAACTGTAATTATGTCCAATTTTTATTATAATGGATCAGAGCTTAATTTTTTATGTCGCACAATTTTAGATGAATCGAGAAAAACAAGAATCATCTATTTGTATGAAACTAGGATCGTAATGCTTTTTAAATGTATAATCAGACGATTGCTCTTAAAATTTTAAAATACTTTTGTAGATACATGTGAAAACGTACGATTGAATCGAATTTATTAATTTTTAACCATATTTTAACACATTCTGTTTATAATCTTTCCTTATTTAAAATGTTCAAAATAAACTTCTTAAATTTCTGGCCATTTTCATTTTCCTACTAGAAAAATAAACCTACCCGCCATTTCCAAAGGGTTCAAAAATTGTATGGATTAAAAAAACAAAAAATTGTTGAGGTACGTATATTTGATTTAAAATGTCGGAGCCATTATGAGACTATGTGAAATTGTGAATACAAGATTTACATTATCTAAGTTGTAGGAAATATAATGTATGTCTAGCACCATGACACTGATTTTCAGAAAATATAATTTTGAATCAATCTGAATAAAAAATATTTTTAGGGAGACGTAACAACCCGTCTGTGTATGTACAGTGGAATATACAGCGTGATTTTATCTAATGAAATATAAGAATATATTATAATAAACTAATATAATATTGTCACGTTATAATCTATCAACTATATTTAAGAAATATGTAAGTAGATATACTGTCTCCTTTGAAAAATATGAGGTCCCTAAACTAAAATTAGTTGAGCACTCTAGCACAAACCCTCAAAAACCCACACACACGTAGCAATAAAAGCAAGAAATCTGTATGTGTATACACATAAAATATAATGCTTAAAATTATAAGTGAATCACCAGACAAATAGTGTGAAGGTGTATACAATTTTATCTTGCCTTAACTGCTAAGTTTCACAACCCAGTAAAGTAGTTATGTACATCAATATAAACCACTATATTATTAAGAAAAGCATTTAAAAAAGAAAATGTATAAGTATTAGGCTCTTAACATAAATTTTAGACAATTCATTCAAATAATGATTGACTTTAATAGAAAAGCTATGATTTGTGTTAATTGTAAAATCAAAAGTTTTGGCACAAAGTTAGTACTTTATTCTATTTATTTTAGTACACTTATATAATAACGCTTTTTATCGATCATTTTGTATATTAATGGTAAATTGACACGACGTTACATAGGTATTACCTTATATTACTATAAAAATATAGAACCTAAATAATATCATTTTTCAATATTATAAAAATATTTGTTTATCAAAAAACTGTAAGTTTTTATATAATTTGTCGAAAAAAATATAATTAATGATATTATTAATTCTTATTTTATATAGTTATCACGATTGGACGGAATGATGTATAATTTCATAAATTGGAATGTACACACACTTATTTAAAACGGCAGTGAAAATATCACTTAAGTGTTTTCGGTCTAAAATTCTAGACCAATAATAATTTACTATTTTATTTTCAAAATATTTATATGTTTACTGACATCTAGCGGCAACTGTTGACTATCAGACTAGAGCCAGCGACATCTGGTGGCCCTGAATCGCGATCATTATTAACTTTAAGTTATATCAGGTATTGTATGTTATAACTTTGAGTTATATCAGGTATTTTAATTATATTTTTTATTCACGCCATTCCCTGGAAGCTTGGAATGTGCGGACTTCAGACGACGTGAATGTGGTCAATCCTTGGGGACCTGTAAAATAAAATCAGAATGTCAACAAAACCACAAATTGAAATAAATCATAACATTATAAATTATGGAACCTTGACACTTCTTGGAAGTGGTTGATTAGAACCAAAAATCTAATGGCCGTTTTCAACACCAATCCCAAATTTTTAGAGGACCCCTTTGAAAACAAAATTCCTGGTAACACACCATAGGGGGTCACTTAAAATTAGGGATTGATGGTTAAAACGGGCATAAGTCTCACATGACTGGCATAGGATAGGTATTTCTTTTCCCCATGTGGATGAGATCCCTTCTTATGTTAAAATTCGGCTACTACAACTTCTTCCTCAGGACATGGCAGGATAATAAATGGTCCGGAATCCAACACTAGATTCCAGGCTAACATAGGCTGATGACGATGACAGTGTACTGAGCACTGTCGATGATAATGTTAATGGTGATGGTGATTATGGAGTTGAGGGCACCAGACCACGTGGTAGATCACCAATGAGATGGACGGACCAGATCAAGGCCGCAACTAAGTGCTCGGTTAGCGAAAGTGCCCGGAAAGCAGCAGTCCGCGAGGAATGGCGCCGTATTACGAGGAACATCACTCTGAATCGTGATTCAAAATGATGACCACGACCACTCTGACAAGAGTGTACTGACTGAGAAGAAGAAGATGGTGATAATAGCACAGAATAATAATAAGTACTACGTACAGAAGTTTTACTTCGCGAAGGTATTTAAAAAAATGTATGCTCAATGTCATTAACAATATGGTGTAATTTAGCCTGTCTCAAGAGTCAAGCGCCATTTTGTTGACAAACGTCAGTGATCGGCACTGCGCCGAAGCTATAGGGCTGACTTCGGTAAAATGATGTGACGTGAGGTGCCAAACTGCGGAAAATGGCGGAGGAAATACACGTTTTAGCATGAAGTATCATGAATAATATTAACTACTCATTTACCTCTCAGTGTCTAGAGGCAACTTAAAAAAGTACATTCTGTGTTTTTATTATTATTTACGCAGTTAAATACTGCACAGTATTTAGTACACCATTTTCTTCCATCATACACAAGAATACGCGTGCGTGAGTCAATGTTCGCTCGTATGTGAGGCCTTGTCGAATCGTATCCTGTATGTAGATGGGCCATCGTGCGTGTTTTGTTTTCGATGTAAACTCGCGGAGATGAACAGGCCTGATAATAGTCAGAGCCTGAAGTATGGGAGCAGCACGGGAGAGGTGATATTGACATAATAATATTATGACGCGACAAAGCATACAAATCTGAAGAATATCTGAAATCTCGCTGATGTTTGAGGAACGTAACACTAGATTCTAAGCTACATAGGCTGATGATAATGACAGAGTTAAGTACCCTGATGATAATGATGGTGATTAGTACCTCGAACTCGTCGTCCCGGGGTGGGCGTGACGTCACCGTCGGGCGCGGTCCACTGCTCCATGACCTCTGTGGCTGAGCGGGCCAGGGACGGCTGGCTCACTGAACGATGCAGTGAGTGTCTGGACCATGATCTGGAAGGTAAATAAATATCATTAACTAAGACTCATCAATCATTTTAAATTCCAAGACAAAAGTATAATCCCCGTTTTCACCATCAATCCCTAGTTTTTAAGTGACTCGTAAGAAAAATTCCTGTTATGATGTGTTACTATAGGGGTCGCTTAAAAATTAGGGATTGATGGTGATAACGAGCACAAGGGGAGGTAATGAAATACTACTCTATGTTAAGTAAGTTTTTGTGTAAGCATTTGGCAATCTGAAAAGTTATGATCATAGGATTTAAAAACTTCATAAATGGCATTTAATACTGTTTTTATAATAACGGACTATCGGTGAATTTATTGTTACTTAAATAGTTGTTACTGCGTATGAAATTTTAATTAATATAAATAATGGAAACATTAACTATAAAGGAATGCCACAGGGTACTATACTTTGCCCCATTCTATAAACACTTGTAGTGATCATAAGTGCCACTAGTGGTCTAAATTTTTTTATGTGACAGGAGGCAAACGAGCAAACGCAATGATGGTAAGTTGAATAAAATATTTTTCATTTTGATTTGTACGATCAGATATTGTGTTCGACAGTTTGAAATATTTTTTTCACTATGCTATTCACTGTCTCTTTCGAAAGGGGTGCTCATAATCACTAGACTAGCTGTCTATTCATAATCAAACTTGAGCCAGGCATTGGCCTGGCTGGTGCCAATGACTTAGTCAATATCACGTTACTCACTGTCCCTGGTGGAAGGGGTGCTCGGTGTCGCTGTCATCATCAAAGTAGCGGCCGAGGTGCGTCCCTCCAGACACCTCCGAGTGGCTGTCAGCCTGCTCGCGTGCGTAGTCCACCATCATTTCTGACATTGACCTGGAAATACAATACTCCTGTTAATGAGGGCTATCGTTTTTATACTTAACAGTGGGCACCCCTGGCGATTGACAGGACCTTACTCTACAGTGGCGCCATCTTGATGAGCGCAAATGCGATAGTCCTCCTACCACTTTCGCGCTCACCAGCCGGAGCCACTGTCTTCGCTACTAGCAAGTGACAGGACCTTACTCTACAGTGGCGCCAACTGGTGAGCGCTAAAACGATAGCCCTCATTAAGCCCCTCTTTTTGTCCACGACAGGTTATTCCTAGTGTGAGACCCGCAGACAAAGCAGTATAATGTTTACCGAATAAAGCTGCCACTATTGTTTCTAATTGTATTTGAATGTGTATGCGTAAACGGTGTGTTTGCTTAAATAAAATATTTGTATTTGTATTTTTCATTGGATACTCTGGTTAAGGCTCATAAAAGAAACACACTTTGCAGCCATGTTTTTACTTATTGTATCAACTATCCAAGTACACTAATCTTTGGAACTCGTATGAATGAATGAAATGAGTAAAGAAAGAGAGAGTGAGTGAACAGGATGGTTGTAAAAATAATATTTTTTTTTTTGTTAGGAAAAGTAAAAACAAAAACTAGCCTGAATTTTTTTAAAAAAAACATTTGGGTTGTATTTGTATGTTTTTATTAGATGCGTTGGTAAAGTATGATCAGTATAAAAAATAACACCTTATATACGTAACTCCTGAGTTGCCTCAACACTAACTAACTATTGGCGTCTGACATCATCATAATGGATTCAAAAGAATATTAAATTGTGCTGGCTAGCGGATGATGATGATGCAAGAAGACATTGGCTGATGAGTGTCAATGGTGCCCGAGGATATTTAGCTGCCGGAAGATGCAGAATTTTGCGTACACACTACATCATCATTTCAGCCATAGGATGTCTACTGCTGAACATAGGCCTCCCCCATTGCTTTCCACGTTGATCGATTGGTAGCGGCCTGCGTCCAGGGCTTCACTGCTACCTTTACGATGTCGTCGGTCCACCTTGTAGGTGGACGTCCCACGCTGCGTTTGCCGGTACGCGGCCCCCATTCCAGAACCTTGCTGCCCCATCGGGCCGTCAGTTCTGCGTACTATGTGCCCTGCCCATTACCACTTCAGCTTGCTAATCCTTCGGACTACATGGCACACTACATGGCAGTTGCCATTTTAGGGCACCTAAAAGGTAAAGATATTAAGTGGAAGGACCTCCAAACTGACCTCATATCGACGTGGTCGCTGCGGTAGGACGAACGGCGCGAGCGTTGTGGTTCCCTCAAAGAAGTCGCGTCGCTGTCATACTCGTACAGTGTAGGGAGCGAACTGCGGCGCGACCGCGAGTCCCACTCGGACTTCTTGCGGTAGCGGTTCTGGAAATAAAAAATATAATTTATAAAATAGCCCGAGAAACAACCCTCACAATAGAATAGCTCGCATTGATGTTGATCTATCAAAGAAAATGTTTTGAACCACGTCCAAGCTGGACATAACCCATTTTTCTTTACTTTCTCGTTATCCCTATCCTAAATTTCTCTCGTGGCTAACATAATAGTACTCATCCATCATCATCATCATCATCATCATCATTTTAGTCGTAGGACGTCCACTGTTGAACATAGGCCTCCCCCAATGCTTTCCATGTTACCTGGTTGGTAGCGGCTTGCGTCCTGCTACCTTTAGATTGTCGTCGGTCCACCTAGTGGGTGGACGTTCCACGCTGCGACGGTCGACGGTATTATAATAGTGCTCATCATCATTTTAGCCATAGGACGTCCACTGCTGAACATAGGCCTCGCCCAATGATTTCCACAATGGCCTCATAAAGGTAGCAGGAAGGCGCTGGATGCAGGCCGCTACCAACCGGCTATTATGGAAATAGTACCTACTCACCTTGGGTTTATCCGGGGGAGGTGCCAGTATGCGAATGATGACCTCCCATTTGGGGGGAGCGTATAACGGCGCAAAGCGGTGGTCGTGAGCTACCCGCGAGAACTCCTCGCGAGTAGAGGAACGAGCTAGTTCACGCCGTAAGGTGCTCTCGTGGGTGATTAGCTCGCGCCAGCGAAGACGCTCTTCGCGGGTGAGACGGAAGTTGCGCTCTGTTTCTGACAGCACCTGGAAATATAAAAAATAATTGATATAAACATCATCCATGGAGACCATGGAGGAAGAAAGCTTTTGTCCAGCAGTCGGTAGCATTTGGCTGAAACGAACGAACTAAACATCAAGGTTGCTAAAGATAATCTGGACTTATGCAAATAATACGGTCTAATCCCGTATCTTTTTCCCACCATTGCAACACCAGTATCTACAGTTTGGTCACTAATAAAAACCCAAATAGTTATCATTATAAAGGGAATCAGATATTCTTCACAGATAAGCTAGAACTTTTTTAAGGTAGATGAGCTGAGAGATCAATCAAGTAAACTATTTGAAACCAAGACACTTCTTTTCATATCGAAAACTTCTCCACCTCAATTTAGCAGGCTAAATGGGTTAAGCAAAACTTACTGGCAACTATTATAATACTTTTAACTTCTACCCACCTCATCCTGAGCTTCAGTCTTCAGCACCCTGGTCAGCACACTCCAGTTCGGAGGCACGGGCGGCGCTGGCGTCGGTTCCGGGACATCCTCATCGTCCTCCTCTCTGTATAAGGGGTTCCTTGCTGGGGGTAGTTCTGGCAGGAGGGGCATGTCTGCGGGAGAGCTGGGAGGCTGGTACACGTGGTCACGTGACCGGTCGGTCTGCTTGATTAGTTCCGGGGAGAACAGGTCGGGGCCGCCTTTTCCTGAAAATAAAGTAAAAATTCCTCAGAAAAAATAGTAATTGAGTGAGATAACCCTATATTAAAAATTTGAAATCAAACAAACACTCTGTGGCGACGATCTTTTATCGTGGTTATTCTTATTTATTACACTTTCTTAGACAATAGTTCTTACATTGTGCCTCAGGCGATGTTTTAAAACCGATAATGTGAAAGAAAAGTTGTTGTTTCAAATCTTCACTGCAGACAAACTTGTTCCATCTTTGACGTTAGAGTTCGAATCATTTCTGACGCATTTGGTGGTTTCTGATGGTGACGTCCAACTGCGACTCTACCATGTCGCTTGCTTCTCGTCTAAGATGACGGACTTTTAATGCTTTGTCCTAGCTCTAAACTAATGCTAAAACTTACCAATATACTTCTGCGGCGGCAGCGACAAAGGCACTCTCTCCATCTTGGGCGTCAGCGTCATTCCTGACGCACTGCTAATGTCTGAGAAGTTCTCCCACTGTGCGTCGGGCAATGTATGGTTTCTGATAGTGACGTCAAACTGCGGCGGCGGTGGCGGCACTTGTTTGTACTCTGTGACGAGCCGCTTGTGCCGCTCTATGTCCTCGATTGTCTTCTTCTCAGTGATCGTGCGAAGGAACACGTCGTCTACTACGTGTGAGGTGATCTCTGGTTTTCTGAGAAATTAATAAACCTTAATAATATAGGATAAAAGGCAGCCAGATTTCTAAACGAGTAATGAGTTCAGAAATACAATTCTTGGGTGAAGTTCTTCTTGATAAACAAAAGATAGAGTTCCCAAGTTTCCAGACATATTTTTTTATTCAGCCTGTCTAGCCTTCGGTCAAGTATTGAGGACAATACTCTCATAGGAATGATAGAAAGCGAGTGATAAGTAGATTATTTGACTAATAGACACACGAGATTTGCTTAATTTGTTACTAGATGGCACCGTGTAAAACTTAGGTTGGCCAATTCTGCGGGCTATTTCAGTTACTTTGCTTCTCCTACAGATCTCCATATTTCTGATTCGATCAAGTAGGAAAATTACTTTATCCTTACATAAGCGCTATCGTTTGTGTGTTCAACAACAATTGCGTTGGTACCACCAACAAGACAAGGACCTTACTCTAAATTGGCACTTGGTGAGCGCCAAAACGATGGCCCTCATTCATATTATGGTATATCGTAACCATTCCTTACCTGGCCGGCATGATGGGAGTCTCCGGGATGGGCTCCAGGCTTTCCATCAGCATCTCCTGTTCTTCCGTCTCCAGGCGCTCGCTCATGATCGGCGGCGGTGGAGGAGGTTTCTTCAAGGAAATATAGCAATTAAAATCATCTAGTTGAAAATAGGGGTTTTACTGAAAGCATTCACTAGATTCATAAAGATTTTGAGCTTGAAGTATAAGCATTCTAAAGTCTAAATTAGCATTCATCATCATCATTTCAGCCATAGGACGTCCACTGCTGAACATAGGCCTCCCCCAATGCTTTCCATGTTGATCGATTGGTAGCAAAAATTAGCATTAATATTACGGAATGGTATTTTTTGTGACGAAGTGACAATCTTATAGCAGCAGCAGGGGTTTCTAGCTAATGAAATCATCTAGTTCAAAATAGGGGTTTTACTGGAGCATAAGTATTTACATATGCAAGCATCTACGGGGCCGGAAACTTAGTGTGGGCACCTGCCCACTTAGTGGGGGACCTCCCCCACTAAGTGGACCGACGATCTGGTGACGGTCGCGGGAAGTACCTGGATACAAGCAGCGCAGGACTGGTAGTTACGTTATGGAAATCCTTGGTGGAGGCCTTTGTCCAGCAGTGGATCATGTGGCGAAACCACAGGAAGGATTTGCTAGATTCATGGATCGATTTTAAGCTCTGTCGAAGCATGCTTAAATCTAAATCAGCATTGTTACAAAGCTTTGAACGACATGATAAATCGTGGTTCAAATAAAACCAGCATTAACAACAGGTTTACTATAAGATAAGCTTAGATTATAGGCTAGGTATATGAACAAGACAATAATACAAAAACTGACACGGTTGGAAGATTTGTGATCATATCAAAGTATAAAAACAAGCGCTAAGTGGAGACATGACCTAGCTTATGAGATGGCCTCCATGATAGGAGCTACTGGAGATAATTATTATGATGTAGGAGATAGATACGTTTCAGTTAAATGAGAGCCCGTTAAAAGAACAATCGATGTAGAGTTATAATCAGATTTTGACTTAACGACACCCTGTTTGAAACATACATAATTAATTATGCTTAAAGCACAGCATTACGTGGTAGGCAGAAACGAAATTAAAGCCCTCTAGCATCAAATACCTAAACAAGCAGGATTTATGTATGTATACGACTAATTTTTGAATTAATGTAAAAATACAGAGCGTTCTTTTCCAATACTTGCCAGGCAATAAAGCAACTAAACTGTAAATATGCATTATTTATCATTTTTTAACTCCTTCCTTATTTTTTTTACTTATTTTACTTCCCTCGTATCTCGCTTGACTAGACTGACGCCGGCACCGTTATAACCACCACCACACCAACGCGTGCAGATTGCCATCGTCTGACATGGGACAGCGGACTGCCATGGGTCGCGCGACCTGTCATTAGCCTAATGATCGCGCCGGCGATGGCGATCTGCCACGCGTTGTTGTGGTTGAAGCTTTAGGCTAAGAACTCATTGCGCGATTTTCACCCGCGCCCGCGGCGGTTGCGGGCCCGCAGCTTCTGTAGAATGCAGATACTTGTGTAAAAACTAATGCACATGTCACGACGCGGTTTTCGTCCGAAGCGGGCGCGGTTGTAATCGGGTCCCGCTCGGCGGGCGACCATTTTGTACCAGCACGCGGCGCGATTTAAAATCTTAGCCTAGGTGAGTTCTTAGCCTTAGGCTATTCTTTCTTTTTCTCCACCACCAACTTTTCTTCCACCACCAACTTTTCTTCCACCACCAACTCACCTTCAGGTGGAACATCCTGGCGTGCGACCGGTCAGTGACCTCGGTGACCGAATGGGTGTCCGTCATCTCAGTGTTGAGGGAGGCGATAGAGCGCGGCCGCCGCGACCACTCCTGGTTAGTATGGTAATGGAGTTAGGTGACCTTCTTACAGATTGTGTAAGACATAAAGCTGATAGTGGCTATAGTCTGGTCTGCGAGCACGTAGAATTTTGACCAATGACCCCAAGCTACCCATCCTTATCGCTCGCTCGTAATTATGTTGCTGTCGCGCTCGCACACTCACTGCGGGCGCCCGTCGCACAGTCGCGACAGCAACATAATTACGCGCGAGCGATAAGGATGGGTAGCTTGGGGTCATTGGACAAAATTCTACGTGCTCACAGACCGGCCTTTAGAAACTTTTACTCATTGGACACTAGGGTCTTGTGACCCGTCTTACAAACAACTTCTAATATAAAGATTAAACTTTATTGTATGGCACGTAGAGCTGACAATTTAATCACTAGGCAATCGATAGAGTAAGTAGGTAAACTCTTACTCATAGGACACAGGGTGGCATTATAATTGAGGTTTTTATAGGACAGCATTTTTGTCATATCAACTGAAATGTTTTTAACTTACGTACCAGTTCAATTTATTATAAAGGTGATATTCTTTGCGTCCATCGATTGGTAGACTAACTTGCAATTTCTTATTTTGCAACAAGAGGAAAATTGTTAAAAACATATTATGTATTTAGAAGTCGGTATTTCTTTCAAAAAATTACTAAAATTAAAAATAACTTGCAAGAAGGTCTATTTAAACAGTGAAAACAATGTATAGCCTGACCAGGAACATAAAAACCCTGGCATAGAGGCGCTTCAATTGCATTTGATAGTGCAACACTGAGTACAGTCGTACATGTGTTAAATTAATAGGCTAAATTTATGTATCAGGATTCAGGATTACGTGCTAATTTGATATTTTCATAAACTAACGAAAAATATTATTAAAGGTAACCTGGTTTAAATAAATTAAATGAAACCATCAATCGAGCTAGTAGGATTTATTTTATTATTCATCAATAATCAAATTCAGAACTTGAATATTCAACTGCAATGTCTGCTCATGAACGCTTCAAACTCGGTACTTCTTTCCCAATTCCATAAAATTCAAAACTTAGAAAGTGACAAAAAACTTTAAAATAGGTAGTTGAAACAGACTACAGCTAATTTTCATAGTGGACTGTACTATACGATAAACATGTCAGTCAATTTGACAACCTTTGTCGGAAACATTATTCAATGAAAATATTGTCCGAACCCTTAGTATTTCTCTTCGACAAATACATTAACACATCGTGGACCACTTTTCTTTCACGACTATAAAAATATTTTAGCAATTTAATTCACAAAATCAATTGCAAACATTTAAAATAAAGTTTGTTTACACTTTGACAACAATAGACTGACATGCAAGGTGACATGTCAATGAAGTTTTCAGTTACTGTTGCCATTAAAAGAAATTAGTACCATTAGTTTTCCGCAACATGGCGAGGGTTTTTATGTTCCTGGTCAGGCTATAATGAATCTGTGAATGTGGTTATTTTAAAATGTAGTAATACAACATAATGTAGTGTATTATGTAGATGTTTCTTAGAGTTATGTGATGTTGTGGATAGTTTTAATTGTGTGTTATATTATTGAGTAAATGTGTGCCTTGATGTGTGTGATGTGTGCTAAAGTAGTAACGTGATACATGCTTGTTGTTATTGTGAATTTATATGTATAATTGTTACTAAGTTAATCACAAAGTATTCAAAAATTTTACCACTCGTGGTAAGCTACATTATGCTTGTGTTATGAGTGGGTGGTTCACCACAATAGTCGAGCGGCGGTGGGCCAGTCCGACTCCTATATCGTTCGGCTATCGTAGCCTCAATGCTTTGACAACTAACAAGTATATTAATCATGACCTGTCCACGTCCCTAAAACTCGCAAAGCACCCTATTAGGGTAAACGCACCTGTTTTTGGTAGTGCGCGGGCGGGCGCGGCGGACGTTCGGGCGGCGGCAGCTGGGCCGCGCGCGCTGGTAACTGTAGCGCTACCGGCGACTACCGTTGCTCATGCTAGCATTTCGCTTTGCGTGAAAGGGATGACAACATTCGAAACTATGTATAGCATTTTTTGGAGTACCCAGCCCCCCCTGTCTTCCCAATATCTATCTATTTCTTCAAAGTCGCCCGTCATTCGGCAAAGTAAACGTAGCTTTTTGGTGTATTCCAATAAGCCTATCTGTTTCTCCAAAACTCGCCTAACCCGAGTAATTTAAACGCAGCTGTTTGGCGTAGCGCGTCGACACCTAATGCAATACATAATATCATGACCCCAGTAAGGTGTTTGGCACAGTGAACAACTAACATGACCGAACCGTTTCCCCAAAACTCACACCTCACTCAAGTAAGGTAAATGCACCCCAACGCTTCACGTCATCCTAGTAGGGTAAACGCACCTGTTTGTGGTAGTGCGCGGGCGGGCGCGGCGGGCGCTCGGGCGGCGGCAGCTGGGCCGCGCGCGCTGGTAGCGGTAGCGCTACCGGCGACACCGTGCGGACCGACTCTTGGCGTTCGTTCTCAATCATCATGGTTTGTCTGCAATATGGATTGTTATCAGGGATGTATTAACATGTCTCTTTTTTATTTAAAAAAAAAAGAAGGAATGTTAGCAATGAGGGCTATCGTTTTTATACTTAACAGTTGGCACCCCTGGCGATTGACAGGACCTTACTCTACAGTGGCGCCATCTTGATGAGTGCAAATGCGATAGTCCTCCTACCACTTTAGCGCCCACCAGTTGGTGCCACTGTCTTCGCTAATAGCAAGTGACAGGACCTTACTCTAAACAGTGGCGCTAACTGGTGAGCGCTAAAACGATAGCCCTCATTGCAATTTGTAAATACAAATTAACCACTCGTGGTATCGTGGTAAGCTAAAAATGCTTGTGTGTTACGTGTGGGTTCGCCACAATATTTGAGCGGCGACTGGGATCGAACCCGCGTTCTTCGGATCACGAATCTGCTAGTCTGACCCCTTCACCGTTCAGCTATCACGGTTCATTGTACGGTAAGCACCACTTATAGTCAGGGTCAAGTTCATCCAAAAAATGTAATTAATTTCGTTTGATAAATGAAAGATGATACCTCCCCTGTCGCTTCCATTGAATTTCAGTAAAGACGTGGCACTTTAGTAAGACCTAACGTGGACGTCTCGAGATAATCGAAGTAGGTAATACCTACATATCACTGTTTTGTTTTCCTGGGTTTCACGCTCACTAATACGATTATTATTTTATTAGGTAAAATATTCCACTTTAAAACAAAACTGCCAAAATAACGCTTCATTTTCTCAACCTCTTTCTAGGTTCTGTGTTCTCAAGTTCATCAATAGGAAGGCTTAATCTAGAGCCTCAACTAATATGAAAACTGATTTTGAACTCTATCTATACCAGTCTTTCCCAAAGTGGGCGATAACGCCCCCTTGTGGGCGCTGCAGGCTTAAAGGGGGGCGGTAAGAGACCCAGAAAAAAAATCGGGACGTTGTGTAGAGCAAGGTTTCCCAATTTGTTTTTGCCAAGGAACCCTAATTGATTATACTTTTTCTAGCGGAACCCCCGTACTACTCTGCCCGCACGCCCTGCCCCTCCCTTGTGCGTAAACAAGTCGGTGCGCGCGAACAACGTCGGTCGCGAAACGTCGAATAATATTTTTTACGGAACCCTTGCGGCCTTTCCACGGAACCCGAGGGTTCCGCGGACCACCTTTCGGAACCCCAGGCTTGGGAGGCGGCATTTACTACGAGAACTCTTAGACATCGACTAAGCTCGACTCTTGACTACAAAAATGGGGGGCGCTAAAAAATAATTTATTCTCAAAGTGGGCAGTAGACTAAATAATTTTGCGAACCACTGATCTATACTAAGGATTAACAATGAAAAATTCATTAAAAAAATATACAATTATAGCCGTCGAGTTGTCAACACTGAATAATGATCCTCACCTCATGCTACCAGCATCGGTCTCCGTAGCCGTGATGGTGGAAGGCGGCGACGGCGGCACCGGCGGTCGCTGAACCCGGACCCGTACGTCGAAGGCCGGCGGCGGCACCCCCGCCAGTCCTGCCACCAAGCGGCCGTTAGACGCGCTCGTCTCGTGCGCTTCGCCGTACCCTGTTAGTGGTTAGGTTAGGTTAGGTTAGAATTTTGGTAGTCGTTTTAAATGGGGATTTTTTTATATTTATTTTGACAAATATGTAGGTAGGTGCCATCGGCAATAGTGTTAACTATCCATTGCCTGTCATGTCGTCTCGTTCTATCGCAAAGAATCACCATTTGATGAGAGCGAGAGCAAAAACGGAAATGGCTAGTTAACAGTGTGGCCGTGTGTACAGACGACAGCATAAAAGTAAACAGTGTTTAAATATTGTGTTAAGTTTTATGGCACCTATACATTTATATATTTTTATAGAAATGTATTTTTTAAAAGTTCTTATTAATTTTTTAATTATTTTAATATATCATAAAAATCATGAAATTATTAGGTAACGTGTTAAATTCATGTAATTAAAATTAGAAATGATTTATGTTTGTTAATAAATAAATAGGCGTCTTAAACCTTGTTATAATAATTTTATTAATTGGTAATTCATTAATTGGTAATTCATATCAGTGATCGGTACACGTAATGTATTATAGATACCTATGATTAACAAATCATTTGAAAGTGTTAAATTAAAATAATTTATAGGTAAATAGGGCAACTAAAAACATATGTAAGTAATAATCTTTTAAAAATCTTTACAAACAAAACGTTTCGAAAAAGCACGCAACTCTCAAAAAGTACACACATCTCTCAAAAATTACAAAAAAAAACTCTCAAAAAGTACACAGCTCTATAAAAGTCACCTTTCAAAAGTCTCAAAAAGTGCACAACTCTCAAATTCTCAAAAAACATACCTTCGCTGTGGTACGACTCGTCGATCACGAACGCTTGGTTGGCGTGAGCGTGGTCGGCTTCACTGGGCGTTTCCGACGGGTAGTCGGAGGGAATGGTGTCCGACGCCACTGAGGCGCTCTCAGCCGCTCCCACTGGGTACACTGGGTGAGCTCGGGGTATCTTCACCTCTGGAGAAAACCATAATAGTATCATATCATCACCGAAACACGCAGACTAAGTGCAGACTTTTAGTCGGCCGATAGTATGGTCGGCTTACAGTTTCCCACCTCTCGTTCCCACCACTGCAACTCCTGTGTAGCCAGGATCTACAGCTTGACCGCCATAAAAACCTAACCAATGAAGGTCATATTTGTCCCCGGGGAAAGTTAAACTGTCATTGAACCCGCAACGAAATTAATCACAAGAACATAGGAGGAGTTCGAAATTAAGGTTCGACTTCACTCCATTGCAAAGCGGATGACAGGTTGTATGAAGAATCGGCCGATACCAAATCGGTGTACGGCGCACTTCCATTCATGTTCATACTCAATAACAGCCTGATCGAACTATTGGCCGACAAAAAATATGCAATCTGCTGATCTGCAAAGTGGTCTTAAAACACGTGTCTGTGTGGGAAGCTCGTATCTCTTTGTTAATTTTTTTTCTTGTTAGCACTATAGACTATAGACGCAAATACACTGCATTACCCTAAATAGATAATAGGGCAAAAGAGTTGGCATCCTTTGGTAAAAAAGAACTCGACGGATTCTACAATCCTACTAATATTATACAGGGTGTTAGGTAAATGGGTATATGAGCCGACACTAGCCCATGTTAACATGGTCATATAAATAATATGGTGAAATCAGAAAATTGATATAATCATTTTAATTTTTTAAATTTTCATACTAAATACATTTTATGAAATCCGATTTGTATGAACATTAAAATAATTAAAATGAAGATATCGATTTTCTGACTTCACCATACCATTTATATGCCCATGTTAACATGGGCTAGTGTCGGCTCATATACCCATTTACCAAACACCCTGTATATGCGAAAGTTTGGATGTCTGGATGTTTGTTACTCTTTCACGCAAAAACTATTGAACGGATTTTGATGAATTAATAATAACCCAGAATAACATATAGGCTATAAATTATGACGATCTGTGACAAACTAAATTTCACGCGGGTGAAGCCGCGGGCAAAAGCTAGTGATTGATATATAAAGTATGTAATAATATCTTAATCTTATACATGACAGTGTAGGTTTGACTGGTTTATTTTGTTTTGAGGCTTCATTTCACTGTTATTGACCACCAATTTAACTCACCTTGTATGCTCTCCCTACTGATGATAGAAATAGAAGAGTCATCGATCAGCTTCCTTGGCACCGGCAGAGCTCGTCTCCTCAGACAGAGGTAAGACACTCCCAACCCAAGCAGCAGCAGCGTCAAGAAGAGTATAGCACAGATGATCATCAGGATGTGAGTCCCTGCCAGTGGTGAAGCGACTGGTAAAGGATTTTCGGGACTCCTGTAAACAATAATGGTGGAATTAGTATAAACTGGTCATGGAAGTTACAACTATACAGTGTGTCCGGGCATGTAGTGATCAAACTTTAAGGGCGTAATCTATGGACAATTTTATCGATGAAAATACTTCAAAGGGGCCTGACCCATTTCTCGAAAAATTACATCAATTTAAGTTTTTAATTTTTAGTTTCCACCTCTTCTTTAAAAAACAAGTGAAAGCGTGGGTAGCTTAACATTAATAGGCAAATATTTTATATCATGCGATAGCCAATAAAATTATCTATTACTAGAAGAAGAAAGCAGACACAAGTTTCATACATTTTAAGGGAGTAAGAATGGATTTAATTAGAAAAAAACATGACTTTTTTCACTTCTTTTTCAGTTATTTTCCAACACAAGAAAAACCAGGTCGTTAAGGTATGTTTTATTTGCATTGTATTATTAGTATTTGAGCTATTCTACAAAACGAATGTAAATTTATTACTCTACGTCTATTAGTTTCGACGTAAATGTTGAACAAAGATACCCCTTCCCAGCGGTTTCCATAGCGCACGCGACATGCGAAAATGCACGGCCTGAAAGAATCACACAACCTATTCCAATTACTATGGAAACCGCTGGGAAGGGGTATCTTTGTTAAACAATTACGTCGAAACTAATAGACGTAGACTAATAAATTTACATTCGTTTTGTAGAATAGCTCAAATACTAAAAATACAATGCAAATAAAACATACCTTAACGACCTGGTTTTTCTTGTGTTGGAAAATAACTGAAAAAGAAGTGAAAAAAGTAATGTATTTTTCTAATTAAATCCATTCTTACTCCCATAAAATGTATGACACGTGTCTGCTTTCTTCTTCTACTAATAGATAATTTTATTGGCTATCGCATGATATAAAATATTTGCCTATTAATGTTAAGCTACTCACGCTTTCACTTGTTTTTAAAGAAGAGGTGTAAACTAAAAATTAAAAACTTAAATCGATGTAATTTTTCGAGAAATGGGTCAGGCCCCAAAATTGAAGTATTTTCATCGATAAAATTGTCCATAGATTACGCCCTTAAAGTTTGATCACTACATGCCCGGACACACTGTACCTATAGTAGACTGGGAGACCATCAGATTCAAATAGTTTGTTTAGTACATAGGCCCTTTCCAGGGCACTTATTATACGTCCCAAATATAGCTTGCCCACCAACACTTCGGGACAACATATGTGCTGGTGCTGAGAAGAAGTGGCGGAAGACACTCATGCCCGTTTTCACTATCAATCCCTAATTTTTAAGTAACCCCTATGAAAACAAAATGCCTGTTATGTGTTACCATAGGAGTCAGTTAAAAATAGGGATTGATGGTGAAAACGGGCATCAGTCACCTAGCTTTGTCGTACGTTCGTACGTTTCAGCCAAATGACGTCCACGGCTGGACATAGGCCTCCCCCAAGGATCAATAGAGAATTCTAGTTAAACGATGCATTACCCTAACAGAGAGAAAAAGGGATCAAAGAGGTAAATGTTAATATTTTATAGTTTTCCTAATACTATGTCTACTTATTACGTTTATTTTTGATCTTCTGGGGAGTTAAATATTTTATTGTTGTTTGTGAATTTACGGAATAGTGATCTCCGAAAATTTAAACTAAGTACTATTTTAAACTATAAGCTGTAGGACCTTTTGTCACTCATGAAAACCTATACAATAATTTTATATAGAGAATGATGGAACCAAGAAGGAAGGAATTACAGTTACAAACACATGAAAACATTAATTTAGTTTTTTGTAATAATAACTTCAGGCAATAGTTTGCTTCGGGTAGTTATTTTAAATTATCATATTATGTCAACAGACTATCCAGTGCATGTCCAATGTCATTTTTATTTAAACATCCATTTGTATGTGCATTTAAAATTATCGTCATCTTTTTTAATTTGTTTTATTATTCATGTTTGCCTTTGAATCGAACTATTATCGTGGTAGAAGTAGTATTTGTAATTAATAAGGACCGACGACCTCATAAGGAAGGTAGCAGGTAGGCGCTGAATGCAGGCCTCTACCAACCGGTCATCGTGGAAATCATTAGGGGAGGCCTATGTTCAGCAGTGGACGTCCTATGGCTGAATTATTCCGTCATCACTTTTGGAAACGGGATCTTCGTGTGAACGTTAATATTAAAACACATTATACGACTAAACGGGGCCCTGCAAAAATGGAATAGGCCGCTACCAACTGGGCGATGAGGAAATCATTGCGGGAGGCCTATGTTCAGCAGTGGGCGTCCTATAGCTGAAATGATGGCGATGGGATCAAGTCCTAATCTCGCAGAAAATATATGAACTCGCCTAAAAGCGCTTAGTCGCTTTGAAAAGGAGCTGATTCAAACGTTGTAACCAAAGATGACTCCTCCCCCTAGGCCAGAAGCTGGGTACGCTCATGACGGCTCAAAAACTGAACTCCGACAAACGTTACTTCGACATTGCGTTACTCCGACACTTTTCTCCGGCCAAGGCGTATTTCCTTTGTCTGAGTAGTGTAGTGTCGAAGTAAAGTCATGTCGATATTCAGTAGTGTCGGAGTAACGTAATGTCGAAGTAACGTTTGTCGGAGTTTACTTAAGGTAGCACTAGCTGCCCAAGACATATAGGCTGGTGCTGAAAGGACCCAGATCAATCCTACAATACTCACGGGGCCAATATAGGGTTGAAGATCGGCTCCTGCACCACCGGCGGCGGGTACCGGCAGACGATAGTGATCACCTCGTCGCCTTCCATCTCCAGGTTCGGGTGGAAACGCACCACTATGTCGTTGGTGAACAGTAGAGGGTCCTACGGGAGGTCTCCATGGGAACAAGCCATAATCAGTTTGGGATTTGAGGATCAACCACGATAAGGTGGAATGCTTCCTTCAGCAGGTGTTGTGCTCGGGGACCAAGGTCCAATTGTTACAATCTCGGTTTTTCTATTTATACTAGGCAGGGTAGAAAAGTCTGATACCGCGATGTAGGTTTGTAGGCGCAAGGCGCGGTAGCGTATACCAGTCATATAGTCTCTGTCAGCGCCATCTGTTGGATGATGACTACCACTAGTCTACCTAGTGGCGCTTTTATAGATATCGCCACAAGTTCAATATAATACTCACGGGGCCAAGATAGGGTTGAAGATCGGCTCCTGCACCACCGGCGGAGGGTAGCGGCAGACGATGGTGATCACCTCGTCGCCTTCCATCTCCAGGTTCGGGTGGAATCGCACCACTATGTTGTTGTTAAACAGTAGAGGGTCCTACGGGAACTCCTATAGGCCCTGTCTCCATGGGAACAAACCTAATCAGTTACAATACTCACGGGGCCAAGATAGGGTTGAAGATCGGCTCCTGCACCACCGGCGGAGGGTAGCGGCAGACGATGGTAATCACCTCGTCGCCTTCCATCTCCAGGTTCGGGTGGAACCGCACCACTATGTTGTTGGTGAACAGTAGAGGGTCCTACGGGAACTCCTATAGGCCCTGTCTCCATGGGAACAAACCTAATCAGTTACAATACTCACGGGGCCAAGATAGGGTTGAAGATCGGCTCCTGCACCACCGGCGGCGGGTACCGGCAGACGATGGTGATCACCTCGTCGCCTTCCATCTCCAGGTTCGGGTGGAAACGCACCACTATGTTGTTGGTGAACACGCGGAGAGGGTCCTGTCACAATGGATATTTATTTAATATTAGGAAGACCAGGGCTTAAGTTTTAACCCCTTAAGTTCTGGAATTAAATTGTTATTGATGTGACATAAGAATCAAACAATGAATAATAATTTTTTTTATCCCCAGCGGGGATTTTTTTATACCTAATTTATCGGCGCGTGCGCCTTGGTGACTTTTGTGACCGTGACAGATGTCTGTCTTTTTTCTTTTTCTTAGGTATAAAAGAAACATGATACTATCGAGGCGACAAAAAAGTCTAGTACAGTAAAAAGTAAACAGATGCATACTGAATATAAATTAAACAGAATTTTAATCAAAAAGAGTTAAAAGAAATGCTTGCTTATTTTTTTATTCTCCTGTACAGACTGGTCTCCTTGGGATATTCAATAGCAATATCTCACGGCTGATCTACGGCTCGTGCGATCGTACCAGGAGTATTGTTTCTAAATTAAAAAAAAACATCTTTAATTTTAAGGGGAAATAGAAAATATCAATTAAAAGTTTGCTATGGAAATTGCTCTAATTTTTCTATAGCCGCAAACTTATTAAAATATTGTGATAGGGATTTTTTGTTCGCGAGTTCTGTTTTGTCCTTGTGTCATAGTTTTGTGTGACACAACCACGTCATATCATACAAAGGTCGCAACACCACACAGTAACAAAAATATAGCTCTAAGCGTCCTTACCTGTCGTGTGCCACATCCCTTCAAAGGCAGCTCAAGCCGGTAAGACAGAGCTCCCTTGCCCGCGACCTGGCACGCAGAATGCCGGTCGAAGTCCGCGTAGGCAATCCCGTAGTACTTCTCGTGGAATTTCAGCTCTACCTGTAAACAAGTAAAAATAATTGACATAATGTTATGCGATTATAATTATCTAGAAATGGTTACTTTCTAGTCTTTTTAATTTCCTCCTGATACCTAAAGAAACCCTCACTAGGTGGACCGACGATTTGGTGAAGGTCACTGAAAAACCTGGATGCGGGCAGCGCAGTACCGGACGTTATAGAAATTAGGGGAGGCCTTTGTCCAGCGAGGACGTCATTTGGCTGAATCGAACGAACCTAAAGAAAATAAAAGAATCTAGAAAGATATTCCTTCTTTCTTTTGCATTCTTTGCAAAATCCGTCTGAATAAGTAGGTACTTACGAGTAATTGCGGCAACAGATAAAAGGCCATATTAAAAAATATTCCCTAGCTAAATTTTATACATAACAACATTAACATGATCCTCATACGAGCGTGAGAAACCTTTCTTAATTTCTGTAGCATTAATTGGATATCGACGACATAGTTAATTAACGAGATAGCTCCCAGTTATCGACACGATAAACGGTCATAATAACTTCGTGTACCTAATGCCTACTCTACACACTAAGGGCTCGTTCCCACGGCAATCCAGTAATGCAGGATCCCTCAAAACTGGATTGTTATACGTGAACACACATCGTTTGTTTCAGTCAAATGACGTCCATTGCTGGACAAAGGCCTCCCCCAAGGTTTTCCACAATGAACGGTCCTGCGCTGCCCGCATCCAGGTTCTTCCCGCGACCTTTACCAATCTTCGGTCCACCTAGTAGGAGGCCTGCCCACGGTACGTCTTCCAGCCCGTGGTCGCCACTCGAGAACTTTTCTGCCCCAAAGGCCATCGTCTCTACGAGCTATGCCCCGCCCACTGCACTTGATTTAAGCAATTCTGCGAGCTATATCGCAAACACGTTTGAAATTCGAACGAATCGGCTTTTTGCGGGGTTTCACTGCAAACGGGATGTTCATGTGACCGTTAATAATGAAACACATGCTAAACGGAATCCTGCAATAAACAGTTATTGCAAAAAAACTGGATGTCTCCTTGGGAATAAGCCCTTACATTTACCCTCAACATTGTTTGAACCTACAATCGCAGCTCGCATTGCAATACACTAGAACTACCAGCAGGGCTCGGATGCGCGTCGTGATAAAATCTTATCGATTATTTTAGACGACAAACGTATGGGCTTATCGCGTAAAATCGATAAAATAGCGCCATAAAAACTTATCGCGGTGCGCATCCTAGGCCTAAATGCCACGCATGCTCTTTTTATTCATCAACAAAACACAAAATGTTCTTGAAAAAACCCACCCACGATGGCTCTAACTTCAAATTTTGATTGCACCAACAATTTTAATATCTAAAAACCTGACAAATTAATACTTATGTCGATCAGCTATTACGACCTATTACCAAACCGTAAAGCGATGAACGGTAACCGCGGTGCCGTTAGAACTGCCGACTGGGCGCTCGACGGATGTTAAGGGCCCATTCAGAGTTACGGTAGATGCAAGATTTAAATTTCAATTGAGAAAATATAGATCACAGAAAAACATTTTCATGTAAAATGTTGCCAATGGCTGGCATTGTGATAAACTTATCAGATCTCATTTAGAGCTTCAATAATTCCGAGATTCTGATTCTACAAAATTCTAACTCTAAACTCTACCTACGTCTTAAAATATTATGTGGCACGGCTGTTTCGCTATCATAGGACGTAAGGAGAAAATATATTCACAGTTCCTTACTTTTCTGTTACTTATAATAGATCTTGTAGAACAAAATTATAAGGTATTCGCACATTTTCTTATAATATTACCATTCTTACTTAAATTTTGTACAACAACAGTGGTTTTGTCTCGAAATTATTTGGTAATAAACCATACCAAAATTAACTAATGAAATGCGTCATCTTACTTAATAAAGTAATGGTTTTGACGAAAAATGAACAAATAATCAAAATGATGAGCGCACAGTTTCGCCAAAGGCTTACGTGCGACTAGTTCTGGACAGAAATAAGTGGGAGATCCTAGAGGCTACATTTAAAAATTAATATTCATTAATAATCTAAAAATAATTATTATAAACATACCTGCATAGATCCAGCGGTGCAGTTCAGCTCAGCTTTGGTTCGGTTCAAAAATATGATGGGACTCAAATCATCTAATTTCGTTACCTGAAACAAAGTTAAAATTATGAAAATAAATAAATAACAATATAACCTACCATTTAATTATTAGTAATTCAGATGAACAATCAGTAATAACTAATACAATCGGGTCTAAAAACAAATGAAAAAGATTTTTTTTTCTATAGCTTTTCGATGCATTTTTTCTTTTGTTTAATGGCAATCAAACCTCTTTGCCAGTTGTTAGAGATTTTTCGCGCGCTTTTTGACGTTCAAATTATTTTTAAATTTACTTTTTCTTGGCGCAGCAATAATTTTTTGCAGCCAGCACTATTACCACGCATTAATTAAATATGGATCGATTTAAAAATGTTCTCTCGCTAAATGCGTTGTAAAATGCCAAGCATCACAACAATTTTAGTAAATTGATAAATGTGAGAGGAATCTCCATAAATAAGTGCATAATATCGTTGGACGGGACATTAAAATAGGCAAGCAATTATTGTGAATGAAGTATTTAAGCGGCAATAAAGGTAATCGTCCGTCTACACAGCTCGGCATACCAAACGCAGCAATAAATCTATATTGCTAATTATTGGCTGCGAGGTCTACTATCTCTACAAGTTTCCATTGGCTCAAAATTTTTAAAATTATTGCTTAATCGCCGGTCAAACTTTATATTTTTTTTCTTTATCGAATATATTAAACATATTTATGAACAGACTGCCTCAAACTGAAAATGTTTAATTCCTGGGTGAACCATTGCTTAAAGATTTTGTGCCATTTATTCGTCGTACAACCACAGAATAATAATAAGTACTACGTACAGAAGTTTTACTTCGCGAAGGTATTTAAAAAAATGTATGCTCAATGTCATTAACAATATGGTGTAATTTNGCTTAGGTAAGACCTGGCCATCAAAGGTCAGGACAACAGTCTCAGTAGGGACAAATTCAGTTTTACCATTACTTGTTACTTTCCTTTTAAACCGTCTGACCTTTAAAATATCACCACAACCTATGGGCACTGAAATACTAGTTTTAACCTCATCATCAGTCCAATCAGTTGGCACTCCTCTAACCACTCCCATACGGGTCACATTAGCTGCTGGAATAAATGCTTTGTATTTATATTGTTTTAACAATGCACTTGAAACAAAACTGTTTGCATCCTCAAAATTTGAAAATGAAATTACAATACGGTTTCTACCAATCTTTTTCAAACTGCCATTAACTATATTTTTAAACTTGTTCTTTTTCAAAAATTGGCCGAATGAAATCGGGTGAATGTTAGATGGACGTTCATTTGATGGGTCTTGATCTTTAAGCACATGAATTAAGTAAGGGGCTGCATCAGAAGCTTCGTAGCGAGATCTGCCTACAAAAGTCGATACACGAGGATTTGGGGCTGGGCTTTCAGTGGAGTTCAATGCAATGGGTTCCGACATGGGAGAGTTTGGAACTACAAAGTTATCAGGCGGATTAATAAAAATATTAGGCTGATTACTTTCACTGTCACATAAACAGCTATTATTTTCATTCGATGAATTTGACCTATGTTTCCTCTTTTTGTTGCAATGTTTACAATATTTACGGTTTATAGAACGTTTCCGAGAAGAGCTAGATTGACCAGCATCCGAACAATCAGTGTCTCTTTGAGATCCTTCGGTTTCAGAACATTGTGATATGGTAACAAAATTAGATACCTGGGGGACGCCGGTCCCGCCAGGATCATCGGACTCATCCATGAAACTTTATAAAAGTGAAAAACTTACCAATGTACAGGAATTTTTACACTAATTATATTAAATATATACAGATAATTAATATACACACTATTTTACAACTGATCCTATACAATATACTAATTAAATAATTAAATTTCAAAAAGAGCAAAAAAAGGACGACCGAACAAACCGACGTTTCCCGCGCTTTTTTTAAACAATAGTTAGGAATAGGTAATTTTTTATTTTTTTTTTTTATTTAAATATTTGAAAATACCGTGGCTTAGAACCAAGGGAAGCAATAGACAATAATTATTTTGTAAATATGGCGCGAGGAAATTTTCGCGCGCATCTTGACTGCCCACAGATTAAATAATCTGCCGTGATTAAAAATGTTATATATTTTTTAAAAACACATTTATAAATTATTTGGTTAGTACGAGTAATTAATTAGTATAATTTAATTAATACAGTTTATATTTTATTTTCAGACATTACGGAAAATTACTATTTCTTGAAAGAGTTCATTTATTCAGATTAAAAAATATACCGCAAAGTACAAAAATGTTTAGTTTACTTATAACACCCCTGTGGAATATAAGCTTTTTTGTAATGTGTAAAAATTTACCTCAAAACCAACTTTTCAAACTTTTTGAAAATAATGAAACTGACTTCGAAACTTAATTTTCATGTTCAGTTCAATTTTCCAGCAATCCGCCTACCTCTAAAGTTTTATCGGTGAGTAAGCGTTCTTCTCCGCCATGTAAAGTAAAGCTTATCGCGGACGAATGATTTTTACCTTGACGTAACATCTTACTGGTAATACGTTAGTATGCCAGCGTTCATGAAACACGAGTTCAAGCAATCTGTAACTATTATAAACTGTCATATTATAGTGCTTTTTCTATTGTTGGCATATTAGACACTAATTTTATGTAGTTACTGAGTCTAGATTTCGCAAAGGCATTTGCAAGAACAAAAATCGTGCAGAGAAACAGCCTCAACGCTCTGCTTTGAAACCCGCTCTTAGTTCCGCGTAAGCATGAACGTGGCTTTAGATTAGAATCACAGAATTCCGATTTCTGGCTACATACATATGCATGAAATCCCTCCAAAGATCTCGTAATCTGAAGATCCGAACCCGATATGTAATATAATGTGGAAACACAAGTTCTCCGATAAAAACGGTTATAAAAAGTTTTGTTCCGAATATCTATAGCCCTTTTACGAATAAATGGAAGTTTGGGTCGGCATCTACTCACTTGGTATTGGGGAAATGTGTCTACACAATAAGAAACGGTTACAAGGTTATTTTGACTTGTTTGTTTTACAAATTATTCATGAACGTATGTTGTTGACACAACACCCAGCGAGAATCATTGATTAAAGGACTAATGTAATATTTAGGACAATCTTTGACTAAGGCCTTATAAAAAATACGGCGATGATAATAACCTTAGCTAGATTAATTGTAAGGCATCAGCTCAAGTCAGTCTGGCTGTCAGCCGTACCTACCCTGAAAAGGAATCGTTCCCCGCATACAAAATCAAAACTCGTTACCGAGCAGCTCTTGAAATGCGGGCATAGTTCCTATTAGTTTCTGGATCCTGTTATTCGGTTTTCGGATTTTTTTCTTCTATACAAAACTTGGAAAGCACGCAGATGTTCCACTTTTATTTACACTCGCAGGAGGTATTATGCAATAAATTACTTGCAACAGAATAAGCAATATTTATGGTTTGTTATACGTAAGCCTTTTTTAGATCATTTAAAATATAAAAGATACTTATATAAAACCATATCCATGATTTGTAGGTCAACGCATGGTCATGGTCATCGTCAATGTATTGAGCCAAGTAAGTAAATGAAGACCCGATATTTTTTCTTTTCTTTTGTTACCTCTACTACCTACATCATATAAACCTCTACAACTCACATGAAGTTTTGAATTCCTTGGTATATTTCATTACATTCATTGTGTCCACTCAATTTTCATCAGTCGAATATAAATATTGTTTTCTATTAAAAAAAAAATTAACCTATAAAATAAATTGGAGAGCCAAAAACAACAATTAACAGCATTTATGCTCATTTCTGAAGCACTCAGATTATCTAGATTAATGGGAGAATGCCCTACAATGAGAAGCGCGCTGCGGCTGCGCGTGACTGTGCAGCCGCATGGATGATCAATGGCGGCGACCACTGACCACTCATGCGCGCCTCCCGCCAAACCGGTCAAGCGCTACCGCTACACCCCCAAACTCACAATTGCATAGAATAGACCATAATGAGTTTTCTAGGGTTGTGCGACTTTGGACCTTCTCCGAAAAAAATAAAAAAAATCAAATAAAAAGAAGCCAATGTAAATGTTATTTAGGGACTACTTCCAGTTAACATTAAGATTTTTTTTTTATTTCTGAAATTCTAAACACTAATATGCATGCCGAATTAATGGATAATAAATAAATGTTTGTAAAACACAATGTTGCTGTGCCCAAACTGGGTCTATGTTCGAGACTGTACAATATATTGTTTAAGACCTTATGTACAACATAGAATGCAATAAAGATACTCGTATTGAATTGAATTGACTTAAGTCAGAAATTCAGGAGCAATATTTAAATTTTGCTTACGAGGATGTAGTCAAATAGCTACGAGTACGATACAAGAATAACACTGGCTTATAATTCGTGGAACTACTCTTGGTTTGGATGCTACCATTTTATGGAATTAAACGATATAAATCAGGTACTTATTTATGAATTCTCTTGTTTTTGATAATGAGTTTTTTTTTCTTTGTGACCTATGATTTTAAATCGATGGGCTATAAAACGTGAACCGGTTAAAAAAATCTGAATCCGAACGGATTGGCGCATCCCTGGTTAGCTACGAGATAATGACTCATCTAGCGCAGTGAAAGCTTAAAAGGACTCTAAGGCTGGGTTGCACCATCTTACTTTAACTTAAACGTCAAAAATCTGTCAAACTCCATACAAAAAGCACCGGTTATCGTCATAGTTACTGTTAAAGTTAGGTGGTGCAACTCAGCCTAAGAGTTTGGTGTTGTCGACTTTATTTGAACTTGTCATATTTACCTACGCTTTTAAAGCGAGTTACATTTCTAAAACTGTGTACACGGAAGCTTAACGAAATAAACAGCACAGTGATTTATTAATGTTGACTTCAGGGCCCCAGTTTATTAAACCTCCTTTGAGCGATGATTCCGTTGTTCAAATATAACAATACTCCCTTAGGGAGCCACATAGGAATCTAATTGATATAGTATCTTCTCTGCTTGTATGTATTTCGTTGCTATTTAAAAATAGTTATTTCTTAAGAAATAAACAACTTAATGGGAAGATATAATTAAAATACAAAACGGAGCCCACAAAATATGCCAACTCCTTGTTTAAATTGGACGCTTAAGTACGAAATTTAATCAATTCGGCCAAGCGCACGAATTACAGAGTTTTAATTGGACTTGATGTGCAAATTGGTGAGACTGATAGCTCTAGGAAGCATCCCAGAACACTGTACAGACGGCGTCACGTCCAGCTAAACAATGTGGGCCCTTAAGTTCTTGTTATTAGGGGTCACATTCCCTAGTCACAGCATCATGGAAGAAAATAAAATAAGTATGTAGAGGTACTTCTTAAACACAAATTATTGAGTGTTAGTAAACAACGGACCCTGCTTTAAGAACTCTCTAGATTTTTATATTCAGAATTCTTTTACCAATTTAAAGAGTTGTTGAAATATTCTTTAGCATACTCTGAGGAAAAGTCAGGTTTTAAATATTTGAGTATCCCACACACTCATACATGTACTCAAAGGAAAGTTAAAGGACCTACTTTACTTTCATAATTATACTTTTAGTAACTTTTTTTAAATAGCCATTTTGTCGGCATGTGTCTACGTGTTTATTATGCTACGATGCTAATAAATATATCACAAAACAAAAAGATAAATTTTCAATTAAGTAACTTCTTCTAACAACAAGCTTCGTTAAGAGCGTGATTTAATTTGGAGTATTTACCATGTCCCAAAGAAGGAAAAGGTTATTTTACCTTTTCTTGAGATTCAATATTAGCAGCTAAGATCCAATGTGAATAATTAACACGGTATGATTGGTTGGTATTACACCGTATTAAAAAGTAAAGCATTAATCTCAGTATATTTTAAGAGCGTTTACGCGAAGCGCGGCGTTTCAAGGGGCATCATTGGAAATGATTCGCGCGCGGCGTTTTTTAATAGTTTTCAAATGTTTATAGCAAAACAATAACAATGAATTAAATATCGTTTCAAAGTAAATATTTTAAAGAAGATGTTGTTTTATTATATTAAGCTATTTTTATGTTGAATAAAGGAAGAAAATTGGTGAAAAAATCACTTTGATTTTTGGGTATTTCACGTTCTTTTAATTTGTGATTTCTTATTGTAAAATGCTTAAATCTAAAAATTTTCTCAGATAACTATTTGCCCAAGGATCTATGCTATAGGATATAAATGTTTGTTAAATCGTTTTCACAGTATTTTTATAAAAAAATTCAGCTTGTAAACTGACGCTAAAGTGGAAATTTACAAAACCTGTGTGGACTTATCTTGATAGAATTCTTAAATACGAAACTAATCGCAATATTTTCTCAATTAACTATTTAGACGACAAAATTGCCTAACTATTTATGCCTATAACATATTTGTAGTATTACTGGTTAATGATTGTAACGAGTTGAAAAAGTACTGTTTTTGCGCCAAACGGCGTAAACGCTCTTAATTTAGGTAAAATTATTGTGTCCCTATTAATAGACAAACTGTTTTCCAAGTCAAACGTTTTGTTTGACGGGAATACAACGTGACTGCAAACCGCTTTGTTCAGTGAGACTGAATGATCGAGTTGAAGTGTTCAATGAGTATTTAGACATTCGTTAACAAAGCCGTCACTTAAGAAAATTAATAATTCAGTATGTCTATGAATATGCATGAGTAAAATTATTGTGCTATACAAAATTAATTTTTAGTAGGTATATGTAGGTATTATCATATCAAAAAATTTCATTTTGAGATTAAAAAAGTTAAGATGTTAAGCAGATGCCAAACTGCTTCTAATGTAATTTGAATTTTAGGCTAATTCTACTCAACCTGCCTTGAAGGTCAGGGAAAACGGAATGAAAACATCCAATTTTATGAGTTCTCTTTCATTGTTTGGTGGTAGGGAGGCAAATAGAATTATTTAATAATGTTGACACACACGGGGCTTAAAGAGTTAAGAAACGACGAGACGTAATAATAATGCTTCTATACAGGGTGTTAGGTAAATGGGTATATGAGCCGACACTAGCCCATGTTAACATGGTCATATAAACGGTATGGTGAAGTTAGAAATTTCATTGAAATTTGATATCATCATTTTAATTTTTTTAATTTTCATACAAAATTAATTTTATAAAATCAGATTTGTATGAAAATTAAAATAATTAAAATGAAGATATCAATTTTCTGACTTCATTATACCATTTAGTAGCCCATGTTAACATGGGCTAGTGTCGGATCATATACCCATTTACCTAACACACTGTAGATCTGATCATCTGAATACTAAATATCTCTAGTAACTAAGTATTATAAGACTTCTTCTTCATAAAGTTCACTAAGTTTGTGATTGCTATCTCAACCACATTTAGTTGAAGACGAGAGGAGCAGATGTGCCCTCAAAAATTTACATTATTTAATCAGTAAATAGTTACGATTTAACCTGCATTGTTCGCTATACCAAAAATCAAGAACTGAAACTGGAACAAGTTAAGCTTCCAGATGTCGATCAATTTTAATGTTTCATCGAAGGGAAAATCCAATCAGCCCTCTACACGAAGTTTTAATAGTTAACACTTTACTGAAATAGTTATACCTACATTACATTTGTGTTGAAAGTTGTGTGCTTGCCTTTAAATTAAGCCTAGGTATGTTACATAAATTCTGTTCTGCACAATCAACGATAGATTAATGGTTTTTGTCTTATTATTTGTTCACTGTTTTTACGTGAATTCAATAGATTACAAATGATAGCTTTCTAATAATAAGGCCGGCAAATCGAATGAATATACATACATTTTTGGACATAATATATTGTACGTACGTACATACCACTTCGTATAACAAAATTAACACAGACTCTGCAGACGTGACACGCAAATCTTGCCGCGCAAAAATCCCCAAGGAGAACAAAAGACAAACGAAATTGGCCCAAAAACTTTTTAAGTGGCCAGACACATGGCTAAAGAGTTTGTTTGTAATATACGGCTGATGCGGCCTCAACTCTTAGTGCCAATATAACACAGTGGCAGAGAGTTCCATGATTGATCTGATCACGCAAGGGAAAAACTTTAAAATAGGTACTAGAGTCGAAATTATTTTAAAAAATCGTTTTAAATCGAAAATTAGCTGTAGATTGCTATTTATAAAATGTAAATCTCGGTTCACACGGAAGAGCAAGTAATTCACATTTAAGAATTTTAGCGAAGCAAGACAGGACAGTAAATTTAATTATATGGCGCAACACTTATTTTACTGAAGCTGTAATTTTGTTCCTTTATTAATTTGACAATCTCGTCGGAATTGCGTAGACACTTCACTTCGCCCACGCTTTAAATTCAACAAATATTTTGACAAGATTACTCCATAATCAGTAGTGGCTCAAAACAAATCGCTTTTCACTTTACCAACATCACAACTTAATACCTAAAATTTTTTACATTTAACCAGTGGGCACCCAATCATTCCTTGATCTTTGTTGCTTTAAAATAGTGCCAACATGCGCAACACAATTCTACTCTAATAATAATAACATGTTTTCTCAAGAAAATTCTTGCTTGCTCCGCGCGAACACTTTACAAACTATTTTCTAAGCCTTTTGGGCCCTTCTCTACCGGCATCTCTAAGTTGTCTTATTAAATAAACGCTTACTTTGACTTGATCCTGTTCCCCAGCGTACTCGATGCTCTGGAAGATGGTCCACGTGTAGCGTCTCCGCACCTCCATCCGGGCTAGGTACCGCCGGTACCATTGTTGGATCAGTATGGCCGCTTTCATTGCTGGAAACAAAACTATGATTAGTATGGTGCAATGATTCTGAAGGTAACAAAAACATAGCTAGGAACTTTAATGAAAAGATTCCTACAACGAAATGAAACCCGCAAAAATGATTTCCACGTTCCAGTTCTCGAATTCGTTCGTTGTTAGACTCATCCGTCAAGCTCATATTTAAATGGAAATGGTTGACTGGCTGAAGTGTAATTAATAAACCACTAGGATTACGTGAATCTCGATCAATCAATGGGAAATCGAAGTTCATTCCATTTGCCAATAACACCCACTATCGCTTTTATCAAAATGATCGAACAGTCTACTGGTATCAAAACAAATGATGAAAAAAGTACTTTTACGAAGGAGAATAACCTGATCTAGTTTTAGTAGTGATTCTAGTCTAAAACAAAGTAGAGCAATTATTACTTTGGATTGGAAATCAAACATTGATAGCTAAATTACTCAGTTTGAATGTCTGTGAAGAGAAATAAAATAATCAGCCAATTACCACCATCAGCTTAGTTTTTCTGATCAATATTGCTCTCATTGCTTTAGTATTGAGTAGAATAAATTCATCTCACGCAAATTGCCAAGTTGTTTACCACCTACAGTCACGATATTCCTAATTTATGGTTCAAAGAGCGGTAAACATACTCGTTATCATCTGAAACTGGATTATTACACCTACTCCCTACCTAATCAGATACGAGCGTGTCGGTTTTATACCTCCCTTTAATGTAATCAATTAAGGCTGTACGCACGCTCTGGTTCGAACCATTTTCGTTCGTTTCTATTGAAAGGTAAATCAATCACGTATAATATGAAAAAATATGTTACTCTACAGAATCTAACTTTTATTCCGTATTCATATTTATTAGACGAAAGCCACTGTTTGGTGATGTTTCGTGAAATTTCAATTAATTTAGCGGGCTAGATTTCTCAAGTATGAAAAAAGCTGCAAATGTAAGCAAAAAAGGTATTGGTAGGTAATGTTTGCGTATCCTGTTTTTTAACCGAATTTAAAAAGGAGGAGGTTCTATGTTCGGCTGTATGTATTTTTTAAATGAAAATTGTGAGCCTTAATCACAAACATTATCAAATTCTCGCATTTGTGAGTGTGGCTTCAAATCCAAAATATTAAATTCCACAAAGAAAATAACGTATGTAGCCAATCTACGTGACATGATTACGTTATTGTAACGTGTTTTATCATTCAAAATCAAAAAATACTGACGTACGTGTCTGAGATTTCCCAAAAAAAGACGGTGATTTTGCACATTATACTTAACTAATTAGTCAAATTGATTAACAAGTCTGGCAAAATTAATTAGCATGTCATGTACCTTTTTATGCAAGGATACTCCAAAGTTATTACAACAGTAACTTTGATAATCATTTAGTCTTAATCGTAATTATTATCCTACTGCAATTCAGATCAAGGCGAGTTCAAAGACATGTACTATTAATACGCAGGTAACATAGAATAACAAGGTTCATACTTTATACACGTCTATAAAAAGTTCTAACCCATAGAAATTCCCATGACCTGAATAACAACAATAGTTTTAAGTCAATAAATCTATAAGACACAGACTGTATAGTTCTTTAGCAGGTGACCAATAACTTTATAAATCTTAATACAATTCACTATAAGTCGGAACGGAACATCTTTAAACATATTTTACCGTGTCCAAATTATTAATTACAGGACCACTAACAATATCTACATCAAACATTATTCCATAAATACGTGTAAGAATAATTGTTGAAATTATGCAAATTTTAATGGAAGTGGAGATGTGTGTGTTGTGAGATAATATTGACGTCACTTAAGGCTCTCGCCGTAGGTGTGTAACGTGGTTAATACCAGGGAGTACTCGTACCTGCTCGTTTAATGGGAGGGCTAGCATTTCCCGGATTTCTCTCCATATTAAATTACATACCTACGTGGGGTGTATGAATCAAGTAAAAAAGCCTAACAGAGTTTTCTTTAACCTTTGATGACACTTCAAGATGAACCTCTCCAATTAAATTTGCTAGACATAATGATACTCTTAAGCGTTGTGGGTCGACGTCAAAATAAACTGGTAAAATATACGGTTTTACCTAAATTCATAATAGCAATAACATGTTTAGAAATTTTACGCTATAATAAGTCAAACTTAAGGTTTTGTATGTGTAGTTTAACCTACCTACTCGTAGATGGATAAATGCTTAGAAAATTATGATCCCCGATTCTAAAAACATTTCACTGACAAAAATCTTTTTAAACTCTACAACTGGACCCCTTTATGTGTGATTAAAACATTTCGACGTAGGCGTATCCGCCATCAAAGGAATCCTTGTGGATTTGCGAACAATTTATGACCGTGTACCTGCTAAGCCAGTCATCATACTCGGAATAAAACCTGCATAGCGAAAAATAAAAATGTCGAAATGAAGTATAATATCACGTAGCTACTCGTACATTACCACGGCGATACCTTCGACCCAAGATAACACAATTTTTACGCTTACTAAAAGGTTAAGGGCAGGAAAGCCCTTCTTAAAGGTAAATGATGTCTTAAAAATATGAATATCCTCAGAAGCATTTATTTAAGAATGTTTCAATTTTTTTTTATGCATAACAAGGCAGGTATTTGACCACAAATTATACATATTTTGATTGATAATAAAACATTTAGAACAGACCGAGGCGTAGAAAATGATAGAAAGCTGTCCTTCTATTTATTATACAAGAACCTAAGTTCGTTAATCATTTTAAATCTACTATTTTACCAAATGCTACGTAACCAATCAACATCTATATTTTGTCTAACTTGTGCTAAAAGCTCTATTAGCTTGCGGTAATAGTTCCTCTCTAGCAAGGTGAGAGGACCGTGGGTTGTTACCGCTCCCCCCTTATTATGTTACCTAAGACACGTGAGATCCAATTTACATTATCTAACCTTGAATATTTATAGTCTACCTGTATGAAATTCAATTCGGTACCTTGGGTAACACAAATTGATTTACCTATTCTAATTCAGCCAATTCAACGACATTACGATCATTTATTAAGGTAGCAATTTCAAATACAGACTGTTTGAAATCTCATTATAAAATATCTGTAGGTTGTGATTTTCTAAGAAAACCGAGTTGCCATCGCAATCAAAATGTTAATTTATTAGCGTTTAGCTTCATCAAAATATTGAATCACATTCGTTATTCGCAAATAAATGTTTAAGTATTCTAAGTAGTAAATCTACTTTGAGATAAAGATTGCGCTTTTGCTCATTGTTTCTCACGAGCGCCTACACGCGTAGCGTAATCCATCAAGACCCTCTTTTCCTTTTCGACGTTACATCGTTATTTTCGTAATTCTAAATCGACCTAGTCCCAAATAATTGATTGTGGTACAACTTACTTCTTTCGGCCTTGGTCATGCTAACGTCGTCTCGTCGCCAAAACTTCAAGAACGGAGCGAGGGCCTTCATGGTGCATTCCCCGTTGAGGACTCTGCGGCCCAGCTTCTTGGGGACCTCCTGTTCTATCTCGGAGCTGCGGCACGACGACGAGTCGTCGCCGAGCGAGCGCGCGCGCCGGCTGCCCCTGAAGCTCACGCACCCGCACCCCTCGGCCAGTGAGAACATCGTGGGACTTTTGTCCTTCTTGTACTTCTTATCTCTCCGTGTCCGAGTACATCTCGGCTTGTTTGCTCTGGATTTGGGAATGGTGACGATTCAGTTGCAGCAACGGCAAAGTACTAACATGTCCCAGTCGGTGCGACTGGGTGAAACCTGTGGACAAAGAAAAATAACGTTACTAATAGTTCAAATTAATCAGCACATAAATGGGTTTTGCGAAGCGCCCAAATCAAGTTGATTAATTTCCAAGTCTAGCCCCCATAATGGCACCGGAGTGCCGGTTTCATCTCTCACGAATGTCACAGGCTGAAAAATGACTAAAGAACTTTTCTAAGCATTATCCATCTTCTGAGTCAGCGTTAGCTTTTATTGCTGCATCATACTGATATAAGAGACACTCTACTGTACCTACCTATTTCATTTCTCTCAGTAAAGCACTTAGTTCGGCTTAGGAAACTATGTTTATTATGACAATAACGATGAATTAATTTATTGTTTAAGAAAACAAAATGGTATTGTAAGTACCTACTTTAAAAATAAGCTATAAGTATTATTTCTTTTTAATCCCATTTTTAATAAATAAAAAATAAAACCATAAATAAGATTTCCTTGACAATCATTGCTTAATGTTATTTTGTTCTTTCGAAATGCTTATCAATATACATATGTACAAAGTATAATCAAAGAGACATTTTGACGATGATTTTACTTCGTGATGAAGGAATTAACTAAATGTTTTCTCCGTTCTATTATCTTACTTTTAAGAGTAAATCACAAACATTCTCAATTCCTAGATACGAGTCACAGTGTTTACCTAATTCGTAAGAACGTTTAACAATTAAGTCGACAACAACTTATAGAATTGCAGTGAATAATTACGTAAAAATATAATTGTAGTCATAGATCAGTAAAAAAACCTGATATGAAACTGAAAATGCAAATTCCTTCAGAACGTCGTAGTAATCCACTATTCTACTGTAAAGGGTACTACGACATTCTGCTGTATTATAAAGTAAACTTATATCAACTCGTGATATTTTGATATGAAACTTGCAGGTAAACTTAATTAGGATTTAACTTGGATGGAGTTGTATAGGGGCTGAAATGAGCACACAGAAAGAAGTTCTCATCTGTTTATGCGCCCAGACGCGCGGGTTTGAATGCTTAATAAACGCATTTATATTTTATTTCCCCAAGGTGTTTATTGACGGTGGACGAATAAGAAAACATTTTTAACCATTTACATAGTAAAAAAAAATGTCGCAACATCCACGTATAAAATACTCTTTAAAATTGCCTATACATTCATTAGTGGGTGGTCATCAATTTTGTGATCTATTGAACAACAAAAAACTCTATTCCTCCTTAAGCTCAGTTGGTTTTACTTCGTACGGAATCTATTCAGGGATCAATCGCGCTAATTAACACGTCGTTCGAGCCTAATTTTACGTCTCGCAGCTGATCCTACTAAAGATTTTCCTTTAAGAATGTCCATTTGGTTCCGTCGAACTCATTTGGGACGTAATCCCTGTTTGTTTCTTTTGTACTCAGAGACATAATTTTCTAGATCCGAAAAGGAGCAATTCCAAGAAATAGGTGAACGATACAGATTTGCCTAATAATTCGAGCTTAGGAATAACAAAACGAAAGTGTCAGACAAACAGTGGGTATGAGAACAATGTACCGTGACGTAATGCTGTAAAATGCTGTAAGCAAAACGGCGTAATATGATTGCAAGCATCTTACTCACCCCGTGTCGTGTTAAGTTTTTACCAGAGATTTGGATGATAACATTTTAAATGGCTTATCTACATTGAGGTTTTCAAAATCTAATACAGAACGTCTTACAAACTCAGTCCATTAAAATAATTGAGTTCAAACTTTATATCCATTATAAAAGCTTTCAAAATGATAATTTACTTTAAAGATATTGAAAGAACAAAATATTTTAAGAGACATTTACGTAATATATTTAAGATTATTTGAAAAAGATTATGTTTGTTAACTAACTTTTATTGTAGGTAGATTTCAAAAACATGGTTTCAAATTGCAAGAGGAGGAATTATTTAAATTTAATTCGTGTCACGCCTCCCTAAACAAATAGAGCCTCAGTTGTAAGACATAAAACGTAGCAAACGATTGCGACGTGATTCTCCAATCTAACGACGCGGCGACGTCAGTAAAGTGCTATGCCGTAAGATAAAATATTTAAAAGCTACTTTTAAAACTTTTTTCAAGTCTACGCCAAAATAATTTATAAGAACACAATAGAGCATTTTATGAATCAATTAAAATGTGTTTAATAGGTCCCAGTTCAAATGATTCTTTACAAGTGTACTATGAAAGCGTTTCAGCTAACTCGGTTCGAATAACAAATAAAAAACCAAATTGCTTTATTTTATTGACTATGTTCGTAACGGATATGAGTTGTCTATTTTGTTTTAACGGCCGATGCAATAAACTCTGTGTTTATTGCTAGCTAATATAAACAGGGTAATTTCATGAAAGACTGAAGTAATAATAATAAACGAACGTATGAAGTGTGCGAGAAAAGTTCCACCTTCATTTTATTTTTTAAAACGAAATGATCATTTTTTCTTTTTGAAATGATTGCTTAGTAGGTACTTCAAATAATACTTCGAACAGGTGCGGTGTATTACTAGTTAATTTGCATTTAGTAGTGTTCTTTCGTTATACTCAGTTTATTTTATTTTGAGTTTGGAGTTGTAGGTATTGTTTAGTTTATACGTAGTGTATGTGTATCTTCCATCAATCTGCCTAGTTAATACTAGTAGGAGTGTACTCGTAGCTTTTAACTGCGCACACGGAATTTCTCGGGTCAGAGGAATCATAAAATGCAAGGATCAAACGGGGCCTGCTCGTTCACTCCAAAGGGTCGGCCTTTATCTAGAACAAGTATACGAGTAATTAGGTACTTGGAAAAATTGGGCAAACCAATTAAACTTCACTCGTGTATGTGCGTGCACGGTTTAATAATACCAATCGTGGAAAATTTCGAATTTTCTGGCAAAAGATTAGACTAAACTTCTACATGCAGAGCTCCTACGCTGAATTTCGAGGACTCCGAATTTTTATTCATAGCTCTTTGCTCAAGTAAATTATCGTCTTGGAAGTAAGTAACTATACCTGCACAATTTATACCGGAGCGTATTAAGAAACTTCAAAAAAGGTCGACTCTTCAAGCTCTTCTTTTAAAGTAAAAGCTGTTTTAAAGTTATTCAGGCCATAAAACTATGTACCTTCTCTAGATGGCGGTAATCCACGGTACATTTTCCATTAAAGCAAAAGGGTCGAAAACTTTGCGGGTAGGTGAGACATGAGTGTTGCGGTTAGCTTTTGCAAAGGTAAATGGTATTCAAAACATTACAAACACACACTGCGCATTTAAGTACATTCACTCTTCCAAACTAACATGATTATATTACGTTGAACTTATAACCTTTGTGTATTTTTAGTTTGTTTAAAAACCAAAAATAATTAAACGGAACATACATTTAAATTATGTGTGTAGGGTTTCCCAAATCTTTCTATCTTTTCATAAAGGCATATAGATACGTATAAGAGTTTTGGAGACTGTACCATTTGAGGGCCTCTTATCTATGATGAACCACAAGGGCTGCGATAATGTTTTATGAAAGGACTAGCTGTGCCCGCGACTTCGTCCGCGTGGAATAATGACTTTGGGTAGGCACTTTTAATAATTTAGTCTAATTATTTTACAAATAGCTTTTGCCCGCGACTTCGTCCGCGGAGAAGTCGAAAACGTTCTCATTCGATTTTTAAATGTTTTTAACGTTATTATCTAAATGTTTGAATACTTATAAAATATAAAAATCTTAAAGGTTAAATTAATAAACATAAAAATAAAATTTTCTTATATTTTATGAATATGCAGCTCGGCCTTTGATCGGTGGTATTATCTTTTTGCAACGAAATCGAAAACTACACCTACCGCAGTATTATTGGTAAACTTTTTTTTTATTTTCCTACAGGTGCTAGAATCACCAAGCTTCTAGCATGCCACTGGCCGTGGGAGAAGGAGCTTTTCCTCAAGACTACTCCCACTACCTCAAGGGCCTCCGCCAAAACTCTCGCGCGAAAATGAGTTTATGTATACAGCGCAAGCAGGTGCCCGCGGCTTGACCGTCATGCATTACTATGCATTGTTAGGCGAGCCGCACGCAGCGGGCACCAACTCCGAGGTTAAGTGGAGGCCCCTAGAGTATGATAGTCTTTAACATGACATGATTGTAAAAAAAATGCACTAATGAGTAATTAATATCAACTTTGAAGCAAATCACCACTAAAATAACTTTCTACCCCTTTTTAACATAGTTAGGGGGTGCATTTCACTAAAATACGAAACACATCTTCCATTAATTCTGTTATAGAATGCTTATGCGAAATTTGAAGTAGATTGAACGAAGGAATCTCGTTATCCCATACAAACTTTGCCCCCCCTTTTTACCTCCTTAGGGGTAGAATTTTGGAAAATCCTTTCTTATCAGATGCTTACGTCTTACAAAGAATACACCGTCCAAGTTTCAGGTCTCTACGATCAGCGGCTTAGGCTGTGCATTGATCCATCAGTGGCGCGCGCAGTACTTGATCATTATTTTGCTGCGATGATATTTTAAAACTGCGATATCTTCTAAGATATTTATTGAAATCGAATGGTGTAAAGGCCAAGTATGTTTAAAATTAAATACTTGTGATGAATAACTTGTTTATTTGGATAAGGATTAATATCATGTTTATGAAAAAACCTGCGCAAATAATGCATTAATTTAAAACAGATTTCTTTTTGCATAAAAAGGGTTACTATGAGCCAACCTTAAAAGATAGACATATGCTATCGCGGACTTTTTTTTAGAACTTTTAAAGGGGAACAATTCTGTCATACATGATTTTTGCGAAACTTTAACCGTTTACGCAGCGTCAGCTCTCAAAAGGAAAAAAATCACTGATTTGAAACATTCTTCATTGGTGCTCCGCTCCTATTGGTCTTAGCGTGATGATATATAGCCTAAAGCCTTCAGGAACTAACGGGCTATCCAACACAAAAATAATTTTTCAAATCGATCCAGTAGTTCCTGAGATTAGCGCGTTCAACCAAACAAACAAACAAACAA